GCCAAGTTCTCACACGCTTCTTCCAACTATTATTCCTGCTTTGTAGATGGGAAAACTCAGGCCAGGTGGGAAGAGAATGGACTTGCCACCATGCTGCTGACAAAGGGCGGAGCTAATGAGGGCGGAGCTAGTGAGGGAGGGGCCTTTTGAGGAGGTGTCCAGTGAACTGTGAATATCAATTTCCACAACACTGTAATGCGGTCATTCAGGGGATCACCGAGCTTTTGCTTTTATTTTTCTTATTTATTTATTTATTTATTTATTTATTTATTTTTAATTGAGCTATATATTTTTCTCTGCTCTTCTCCCTTCCTCTCCCCTCCCCTTCTGCCCTCTCCCATGATCCCCATGTTCCAAATTTACTCAAGCAATGGGCCAAGCAGTGTCTTTTTCTACTTCCCATGTAGATCAGATCCGTGTATGTCTCTCTTAGAGACCCCTTTGTTGTCTAGGTTCTCTGGGATTGTGAATTGTAGGCTGGTTTTTCTTTGCTTTATGTCTAAAAGCCACTTATGAATGAGTTCATATTATATTTGTCTTTCTGGGTCTGGGTTGCCTCACTCAATATGGTGTTTTCTAGATCCATCCATTTGCCTGGCAAATTTCAAAATGTCATTATTTTTTTCTGCCGTGTAGTACTCTATTGTGTAAATGAACTGCATTTTCCTTATTTATTCTTTTTTTGTTTGTTTGTTTGTTTTTGTTTTTCGAGACAGGGTTTCTCTGTGGTTTTGGAGCCTGTCCTGGAACTAGCTCTTGTAGAGCAGGCTGGTCTTAAACTCACAGCGATCCGCCTGCCTCTGCCTCCCAAGTGCTGGGATTAAAGGTGTGCGCCACCACCACCCGGCTCCTTATTTATTCTTTGGCCGAGGGGCATTTAGGTTGTTTCCAGCTTCTAGTTATGACAAATAATGCTGCTATGAACATAGTTGAGCACATGTCCTTGTGATATGTTTGAGCATCCTTTGGGTATATACCCAAAAGTGGTATTGCTGGGTCTTTGTTGCTTTCATTGGTTAACTAATAAAGAAACTGCCTTGGCCCTCATAGGACAGAAAATTAGGTAGGCGGAGTAGACAGAACAGAATTCTGGGAGAAAGAAGCTGAGTCAGGAGCCACCATGATTCTCCCACTCCAGACAGACACAGGTTAAGATCTTCCCTGGTAAGCCACCTTGTGGGCTACACAGATTATTAGAAATGGGTTAGATCAATATGTAAGAGCTATCCAATAAGAGGCTGGACCTAATGGGCCAAGCAGTGTTTAAAAGAATACAGTTTCCGTGTAATTATTTCTGGGCATAAGCTAGCCATGTGGGAGCCGGGGTGGCCGGGTGCTAGGAATGTAGCCCGCCGCTCCTCCACTGCAACAGGTCTTGGGGTAGGTTGTTTCCTAGTTTTCTGAGAAATTGCCATTCTGATATCCAAAGCAGCTGTACCAGTTTGCATTTCTACCAGCAATGCAGAAGTGCTCCCTTTATCCCACATCCTCTCCAGCATAAGCTGTCATCAGTGTTTTTGATCTTGGCCATTCTTACAGGTGTAAGATGGAATATCAGAGTTGTTTTTATTTGCATTTCTCTGATGACTAAGGATGTTGAGCATTTTCTTAAGTGTCTTTCAGCCATTTTAGATTTCTCTGTTGGGAGTTCTCTGTTTAGGTCTGTAGCCCATTTTTTTTTTATTGGATTATTTGTTCTTTTGATGACCAATTTCTTGAGTTTCTTAACATAGACAAAAACTGAATGAACATCTGGCCAAGACAGAAGAAAGGACTATCCTTCTTTTGGGCCTAGGCAGGTAAATACCAACAGGGAGGCGTCCTGGTTAGCTGGGATATAATCCTTCCTTGATTTCACTGGTCAGCTGTCCCTTTGCAGTCCGTTGTTGACCTACCCAAGTTGGACTCAGCAGCCCATGGAATGCCGGGCCTGTGGTGGTCTGTATATTTGAAGAGGTCCCAGTGACTCTCCTCTTAGCCTGGGTGGGGGGAGAAGAGGGTTGCAGGGACTCAAGGCGTTGAAGGAGAATTAGTGGGAAGTCAGCGGAAAGTCCGTATTCTCAGAGTGTAGCTTCTTATCATGGAAAATATTGTGGGGAGAATTGTCAGGGGGGCACGGGGCAAGCACCTGAATAGGATCAGTAAGAAAAATGGGGGGGACCCGCCCCGGGGCCCTAGAAAATACCCAAGCCAGCATCTGTTTGGTGGACCCTTCCCATCCCAAAGGGATAAAGTGGTTGGCTACTTTCCCTTTCCCTGGGGCTCGGTCTTGCCCTGTTCAGTTTTGGTTGTTCTTCCGTCCTGTGCTGGGGATGAGACTCGGCTCCTCAGTAAGACCAGCAGGGACAGCTAACTTGTGTAGAAGAAGACAAAGAATGTTTTAAAATGTGATAGTTGGTGACACGCAGGGACCCGGTGGATGAAGGGTGGGTCCTTGGGGCAGAAGCGAGGGAACTGGTCTCCGGGAAGGAGAGGCCGCTTTGAGAGAAGATCGTCCAGTGGGACACTTCCTGGAACAGCCGCTGCCAGGACATGCACAGGGGCGCTCCTGCTGATTTTAAGTTGGCTACAGCACCGTGCCGAGCTGTGGCTTCTCAGTAGCACCCCGGGTAAGATGTTCTCTGGGGAGGGGATCGAGGAGAGGGGGCAGCATTCCATATTTGGGTTAACTGAGGACAAAGCGAACAGCTGCGAGAGTGGGGTGCCAGGGAGAGGCAGGAAGAGGAAGGAGAAGCAAACTTGAGCGTGAACCAGGAAATTTACCGCAAGGCCGGGGGAGGGCCTTGGAATGTGCTCACTATATGGAATGAATGCTTGCCAGACAGAGGATGATCTGAGGCTGGGGAACTTGAGGACGCAAGGACAGCAGACGAATGGACTAGAGGGGAAGAAAGATCCCCACATCTACCACAGGACAGCAACTCGGATAACCCCAAACATTTTAGCGTATATTTTCTGCACACATATTTGCGCTTGGGCTTTTCCCTCTGGTTCTCTCTCCCACCCTTTTCTTTTTTTCCCTTCCTCTTCTCCCCGCCCCCATAACTTGTATTCCTGAACCTCCTGCCTCCACCTCCCAAGTGCTAGGATTACAGGTGCTCACCACCTTGGCCATGTAGTGCTGGGATCAAACCCAGGCTCAGTGCACAATCGGCAAGTCACATGCCTGGCTCCACCAGACGTTTTCCTGTGTACACATATACTTCCACGTCTAATTTAAAATTTTATTTGTGTGTGTGTGTGTATGTGTGTGTGTGTGTGTGTGTGTGTGTGTGTGTGGTGTGAGGACCGGAGCATGGATGGGTGTCACAGTATTTTGGGAATCAGTTCTCTCCTTCCATGAGTTCTGGGAAATCAACACAGGTTATCAGGCTTGGCAAATGTTTAAAAAGTTTATGTGTTTGTGTTTGTGTGCACATGTGTAGGGGTGTCCTTGGAGGAGGAAGAAGGTGTTAGATCCCCAGAGCTGGAGTTACAGTCAGTTGTGAGCTGCCTGATATATGTGCTGGGAACTCTACCCCTGCCCTCACGGAGTGCTTTGAGCTGCTGACTCAGCTTTCCGGCTCCCCGGGCGCCTGGTTGTTGAGGTGAGATGTCATGTGAGTGTTCACAGTTGCCTTTTCCACTTCAATAAATACTCATCTCTGGCCATATTTTCAGGGGGTGCGCAGCAAAACCATTATTGTTAAAAATCAAAATGAAAGAAATCAGCTTTACTGCCCCTGGCATGGAGAGCGAGCAGAAGTGTGGGTCCTCGCAGGTCTTGCAGGGTGGCGCTTACCCTCCCGGGAGAGAACTGTTTCCCCACTATTTCTAGGCCAAAAGGAACTGGCAACTTTAATTTGATACCACAGCCTGTGCACGGAGCAGTGACTCACCAGGAAAGTGCCTTCTCCAGATATTCCTGGCCTGTCACTGTCACCTAGATCTTAGGACAGGTCCTAACTTTAGCTCAGCTGTGCCCAAGATGATCTGTCTACTTCCAGTTCTTTGAATCTTCCAATTATCCTACTTCCTAGTTCTGTTAGCTTGTGTGTGTGTGTGTGTGTGTTTGTGTGTGTGTATGTATGCATGTACCCCTGGCTGTCAGGGGATAATTTATGAGAGTCAGATGGAACTTAGGTCATCAGGTTTGCACAGCAAGTGTGTTTACCTGTTGAACTATCTCCTGGATCTGGGATGTCTTTTGTTGTGTTTGCTTTGGTTTGTGTTTTGAGATAAGGTCTCATTGTGTTGCTCTAGTTGGCCTGAAATTTTCTATGTACAGCCTGGCCTCAAATTCACAGAGATCAACCTGTCTCTGCCTCCCAAATGCTGAGGTGTGCACCACCACTCAACTTGTTGTTTTGTTTTGAGAGTCTTCTATGGTGTTGGAATGACCTGTTCTCCATAGGGTCTCCAGTGGCTGGTGCTGACTGGGAGGTCTAAGAGGACCAGCCTTCCCGGGGGAAGCACATCACTGGGAGTGGTTTTGTGCTTCCTGTTTGCTGTCTCTGCTTCCTGCTTGTGGTTGAGGATGTGAACGGTCAGCTTCTATCTTGGCTTTCATGGCTTCCCTCACCGTCACAGTTTCCTGCCATGATGGACTCATCCCTCTGGATCTGTAAGCCCACATAAACTCTCTTCCGTAAGTGGCCTTGGTCGTGGGGTTTATCACAGCAGCAGAAATGACTAATACTGCCTTACTCTCGAACCCAGGCTGGCGTCGCACTCACAGAAATCATCCAGCCTTAGCCTTTTGAGCACTTCCATCACAGGCCTGAGCTCCTAGGCCCGGCTGTCCATGTGTGGGTTTCTATCTATTGTATATTCAGTGCTGTGCAGGAGTCTGGGTATGGTCCGATGTGGGCTGGCTCTATTCTCTGAGATACTGGAGCTGTCCTCGCCGCAGACTTTGTCCTCAGGTTAGCTTCACTCACGATAGCAAGATGAAATCAGGGATTTCACAGCAGGAGCGAGAGGGCTTAACATCAGCAGGACCAGCAAGATTCTCGAGGCTCACTGTGAGTCTTCTGATCTTGTTATCGTGTCTGTTCTTGGGCCACTTCTGTGGCTGGAAAGACAGAACACGCTGGTTTGTCCAGTGACCATGCTTGAAGTGGTTTTCCAAAGCCAGAGCATTGCCAGAGAATTGACTGAGAAAGACAAGGGTAAGTGGAAACCTGCGTGTTGTCAGGAAGAGAGAAGGGGTGGTGTGTACCTGCAAAGCAACCAGACACTAGCTCTCCACAGAGCACAGCTGGCTGAGGGTTTCCACTAGGGCTGGAGTCTTTCCAGCACAAACAGCTATTGGTCAGGATTGTCCGAGGCTTCCATGAGAGCTTGCTACTCAGACTGGACTTCAAGACTTCCAGGATGCCTTTCTGTACTGCAGAGCTTGAGAGGCAAAACCGCAGCATTTCCAGGCTCCCTTGTACCTCGGTTTCTGGGTGTGACTTCATCGCTACTGTGAAATGTAGTCACTTATGTGCCTTGTGAAGGGTACACGTATGCTGCTTTCCAGCTGTTTTGTTTGTTCCCTAGCGGGGTGTTGATGAGCCACTGTGAGGGGGGTAGAGAAGCAGTTGCTGGGACAAGGCTTAGGTTTTCAGAGGTTCACCCCCCCCCAACTTTTACTTCGTTTTAAGAAAGGTCTATGTAGCCCTGTCAGGCATGGAACTTTTTGAATAGACCAGGCTAGCCTCTGACTTAGAGGTCCTCCTGCTTCTGCCTCCCTGCTTGGATTGAAGGCATGCACCACCACGCCCGGCCTAACATGACTGAGTTACATGGCCGAGGTCAAGCTTAGTGTTAAGCTGCGTGGCTCCTGCTGAGTCCTTGAAGTCTGCAGTGGTGGCTTCCAGGGCGGGTTCCAGTTGATAACTTTAGGACCTCGTCCAGGAGGTCCCGCCTACAGCTTCATCCTTCAGCTCTGCCCATCAGCATTCAGTTCTCTCTACCACGCCTGTTCGCTTTAAACATTGAGAGCCTTTTGGTTTCCTGTGCCGAGAGACCGCATGGGCAGATGCCTTCTGGGATCTGGTCAGAGCTGGCTAGCTCCCCAAGCCCTACGTTTCCTAATTACACCGTGCCATAGGGAGATTAATAATCATTCCTTCCCAACAGGTCAGGGCAAGTGTCTGTTCTTTGGCACGGTGTGGTGGAGGACCGCGGTGGTGCAGGCTGGGCTGGCTTCTGCGGGTCCTGGCTCCACAAAGGTGGAAATTCCTTTGTAACCTTCTCAGTGCCAAAGCCCGCGTCCACCTCAGCCTCAGCTCACTGCAAGCAAGGACGCTTAGCCTCAGACTATAGCTGGAGAAACTGAGTCTCAGAGAGGTTAAAGCAACCTACCCAAGATGTCCCAGATAATGAACACAGGACCAGAGTTAACGTTCAGGTCTGTCTGCATCCTTAGCCTAAATCCATTTGCATTTTAAAAATGTCTTCTCACTTTCGGTAGGGAGGCAATGCATATTCATTAGGGAAGTGCTGATAACCTGTCTTTGCTGTCAGGACTGCAAAATGGAAGAGAAGCAACATTTTCCCCCTTCTCATTTTTTTTATTTTACTCCCACATGAAGTGGAGATGGGAGCCACCCATTACAAAACTGTACTGTCCATAGTGAGTCAAATAAATGTATGATCCAAGCTCAGTAAGAAAAAAAGAAAGAAAAACTGCACTGGCTGCGGGTCTTTAGAGGGAAGAAAGCAGTTTCGGCTCTTTTCTTGAGGATCTGGGTCGTCACTAGAGACTGACCACCATTGTGGAGGCTGGGATCTCCTGGGATGGTGAGGAAGGTAGAGGAGCTGTTGGTGGAGAGCTCGTGTCTAAGGCCTCCCACCCACGTACCAAAGGAGCCTCCTCCATGATCACCAGTTGGAGAACTGCAGCCCCCAACCTCCCCAGACGGATTGGGGTGCCATGGTCCAGGAGCTGGTACATCAGAGGTGCCTGGAACACTGGAAGCTGAGGGTGTGTGGGAGGTGGGAGGTCAGCTTTGCCATCAGAGGGAGGAGTGAAGTCTGTGTCCTGGGGTCGCTGTCCCAGGATCCTTGCAGAGCCTCAGTCGCTCCTTGCTAAGAGTCTGGTAGCAACCTTGCAAGCTCTTCAGCACATGGGAGCATCTCCGCCACTACTTCCTGCCCCTCTAATAGATATGCTCAGAACTAGCTCGAGACAACTCGTGTCTGTCCGACGTCCTCCCAGGCTGACCGTTTTCTGCTCCCGGTTTCCCAGTCAGGTCTAAGTAGAGGGCCGGAGGGCTTTCCAGGCTCCTGTTCCCCGGCCCTTCTCTTAGTGCCAGCTGTGTCCCAAGCTTCCAATCAGATGTGCTGCTGCGTCTGTCTCCCTCAGGAAGCAGCCTTCCTTAGTCCCGATGGGTCTAGCAGAGTCTAGAATGTGAGGGGTTTCTGGAAGTCTCTGAATCCTGTGTAATCTGCATTATAAGGGCCCTCTAGAAGTCTTTTGGCAACTTAAAAAGGATTTATTTTAAATTGTGTGTGTGTGTGTGTGTGTGTGTGTGTGCACCAGAAGAGACTGATCACCTGGAGCTAGAGTTAAAGGTGGTTGTGAGCCATCTAACATGTGTGCTGGGAACCAAACTCTGGTCTGCAAAGAACACTAATCATTTTTAATTAACCCTCTAGCCATTCCTCCAAACCCCTGCAAATCCCCACCCCATCCCCACTTTGTCTGTAACAGCTTCAAACTGACCCTTGTTTTTTTTTTTTTAAATATTTATTCATTTATTATGTATACAACATTCTGCCTCCATGTATACCCACATGTCAGAAGAGAGCGCCAGATCTCATTACAGATGGTTGTGAGCCACCATGTGGTTGCTGGGAATTGAACTCAGGACCTCTGGAAGAGCAGCCAGTGCTCTTAACCTCTGAGCCATCTCTCCAGCCCAACTGACTGACCCTTGTTGAGGATGACCTTGAGCTCCCTGCCTCTGCCCACCGAGTGGTAGGATTACAGGCAAGCTTGACTACACTTGGGGTGTGCAACCCTGGGGATGCAATCCAGAGCTTCTTGCCTGCTGGACAAGCACCCTAACAACTGAGCCACATCCCCAGATACGGGAGCAACTTTTCTAATAAATACCTGTATGTAATTGTGAAGACCCCGCTGCTCCATCACACACGCTCAATTTCTGAAAGAAGAATGTGAACTCTATTTTCTTTTTCCTTGGACACTGAGATAAACAATTGACAAACTGGCTTTGCATTCACCTATTAATAAATGAAAGGCACTGCCAGCGACCTGCAAAGAAATTGCAACACAGACTGACGGATAATTGCGAGGAACGGAGGCTCACGCCTTTCCTTGTTATCTTATTAATTGGCTCCGGGAGGTAATTAAAAAAAAGATTGCACCATTTCTGTTACCAGTAATCTTATGTGATGATTTTTATCTCATAAAAATCACACTGACCAGGAGAAAGAGAGAGAGAGTTTTGATGCTTAATATTTTCCCACAAGCTGCAGGCAATATTTTCCATTCCGCCTTAATTGGTCCAGGAGGATAATTCACCACGGCCTCGTCAATAATCCCAGGACTACGGAGAAAGTCAGTGTGGGACTCTATGGCTGTAAGTGAATCATGGCTGATTTGGTAAGACGACTGTCACCAAGACGGCTGACCTGAGGTTCGGTTCCTGGGACTTACATGTTGGAAGGAGAGTGGACTCCTGTGAGTAGCCCTCTGACTGCCATATGCTGGTACCAACCCCCACCCAAGATAAATACTTTTTAAAAAGAAAAGTCCGCTGGGAAAAGCACTGTGACTCCTGGGCTGGGAGCAGGGCCCCACTCCACTCCAAGTTGCTTCGGGGCTTATGGACTGAAAAACACCACCAGTTCTGGCCTCCCTGCCCCTCTCCTCCTCCTCTTTATTTTACCTTTGTGTGAACCAATGAGTTTACCGGGGTTACTTCAGGAACATGGATAAGAGATTGCTTACAAAAAGATGGGTGACCCCAAAACTGCTGCATTGCTATGAAGTCCTGCACCCTCACAGATAGTGGCCTTGTGGGGGCTGCGTCAGTTAAATTTCCTTCTGCTTTTATGCTAATATAGCCAACAACTGAGAAGTGTAGAAAAATAATCACCCAGTTCCTTCTATCCTGGCCGGTCATTTCCCCAGCCCCGCCCCCTGCATCTCTGCTAATTGCCTTTTTACATCTCACCGGTCTTCCTTGAGTCTTCATGCAGATATGGGCAAGCAAGAACAAACACGGGCTTTTCTCCCACCTCCTTCTGTGTGCAAAAGGTAACACAAGGCACATAACGTCCTGTATCTTTTCCGTTTATGGACACGCGAGCTCTCCATGTTGGAACCCAGAAAGTTTCTCTTTCCGTTTGCACAGCTGTCTAATGCTCTATGCTTTTCATGTTTCTCATATTTAACTATTGATCGGGGGGGGGGCACATGTGCTGCAGTGTGCATGCCGCAGTGCACATTGTGGAGGGCAGAGGCCCACCTGTGGGAGCTGGTTCTCTCTTTCCACTGTGCTGTGCATCTTGGGGTGGAGCTCAGGGCACCAGACCTGGCTGCAGGTGCTCTCAGCCGTTAAGCCTTCTCATTAGGCCATAATGCTCTGCTTTATGGTGTCGTATCATTTATGTTTTGTTATATGTGGTCCAGAAGATGACCTAGGATAGCCATAGGTAGCTTTGAATGAGTGAATTTATTAAGCATACAGCAAGTTAAAGTAAAAGAATAAATAGCAAAGTATAGATAGATAGATGCTAGATAGATAGATAGATAGACAGACAGACAGATGATAGATAGATAGATAGATAGATATATAGATAGATAGATAGATAGACAGACAGACAGATGATAGATAGACAGATACATAGATACCATCAAATTGGGAAATCAAAACATTTAGCAAAAATCAATTGGGAAGCAAGGATATCATCAAATTGAATGCTCAAGATATCCAGCAAATTGGGTGCTCGACTTGCCATCTGGGGAAGTTGAGGCAGTCAGCCTGCGTTCCTGACTGAGCTTTCAGCTGAGCTTCCCAAACAGCAGGAGCCTTTAGATTGTGGTAACCTCTGTTGAAGACAGTTCACCTTCTAGCTGTTCCCAAGGGCACAGTGATTCTACTCTTGGGATGAGGGACACTAGGGGACGCTTTGAGACACATGTATAGGTCTGAACTGGGGGAGGACAGCATCACTTGCAGAGCTGGCTTAGTGAGACAGCACATGATGGTTTGCCGGTGTAATGTACCAAGTTAATGGATACCGCTACCTAGGACTGAGGACCGACCGGGACACATGGCCCTGGCTCCATCTCTGGAGTGAACTAACAACAAATGGTAAGTTATGGAGGACCATAATCTTTGTGATACTGAGCATTTGTGTCTAAGAACAAGTTCTATTGGGGTTATGGTTTAGAAAGTTTCTTCACACAGGCCTTGAATATTATCTGCTTGGCTTATTTCCAGGTACTGAATATTATTTCTCATTCTTTTATTCTTTTTTTTTAATCTATGGAGAGGATTCTGTAGTTTTCCACTGAAACCTTTCTATGTGTCATGATTATTTACCTAGGCACATTTCATAATATTGAATCATCCTTACACCCTGAGATATGCCACTTAGCATGATCCTGGTCTCAAGATCACTATGTGACCAGAGACTAAGTGTCCTTCTCCTGATCCTCCCACTTCTTCCTCCCCAGGGCTGGAATTACAGGAGTGTAGCAATATACCTGATTTGGTGCTGAATTCTGGGTGCTTTTTTTTTTTCCTGTAGGGTCTTACATTTTTACAGGGTCTAGCCTAAAACTTTCTGTGTAGACCAGGTTGGCCTTCAACCCACAGAGACTTGCTTGCCTGGGATTAGTAAGTGCCACCATGACTGGATGGTTGCTTTAAAAAAAAGATTTATTATTTTTATTTTGTGTGTGTGCCTGTGTGTGTGTGTGCACATGTGTGTGTGTGTGTATGTGTGTCTGAGCATATGTATGTATGCTTGCAGGTGCAGAGGAAGCCAGAAGAAGGTGGCCAGATTCTCTGGAACTGGAGTCACAGACGATTGTGAGCTGCCAAATGTGTGTACTTGTAACTGAATCCTCTTCAAGAACAGGAAGTGCTCTTAACCACTGAACAATCTCTCTTGCCCCTGGTTGTGAATTTTTATTAAGGATTTTTAATTAATGGTCATCAGTGCCATTGATATGGCTTGCTTTTTTGTGCATAGTATCATTGAGTTTTGGTATAAAAAGGAAGAATTTGAAGGTGTCTCCCCTGCTCTGATGTGCTGTATAAAGGTTCGTTAGCTTCTTCGCTGCAGCTCCGGGTGGTTGCTTTTCCAGTGGGTACAGGAACTCTCGGAGCCTTTCTGCTTCTTCCATGCAGGCAGGCCTTCATCACTTCTCTCCTGAGACCCGTTTTGTGCATATTGCTCTTTTGCTATTTAGAAGTCTTGGCCTTTTCTTTTTGTGTTGTCTCATGAAAGCCTATTATTAATATTTATAATTAATATAATATATTATATGCACACATATACATGAATCTCTGTGTGTGTCTATATACATGTTAAAGTCAGAGTATAGAACCTGAGTGTGCACTCGTGTGAACTGGTCTAAGAGTCCATCCTGGGGAGTCAGGCAGAAAGGCCCCATGTTTGGTGTTACACCTTGTTCTGACCATCTTGGAATCACTAATAATTTCATCTTCAACAGCTGAGGGTTTTGTTTTGTTTTGTTTTAGATAGGGTATCATTATGAAACCAAGGCTGGTTGCAAAACCACAATCCTGTCGCCTCATCTCCCTGAGTACTGGGATTACAGGAGGACACCATGACACTTGGCCAGATTTGTGCTTTGTCAGTGAAGTCTGGTGGAATAGGAGTGCACAGATATGGATGTCTGAGACACCCGGACGAGATCATCACTTGTGGGCTCTGTCATTTGCCTGGCACTTGCATACACCTTGGGATGAATGTACAGGACTGTGGGGCCCACACTGTCTGATCCAGAGGCTGTGGAAACCTCAGAAGAAAGGGAACCTGGATGTGGGCAGCATGGAGCCTTCCCTCGATGTCTGCACTAAATGTTGCTAATAACTCATTACAGAACAAAGTAAACTCCGGGGCCAAGCTTAGAGCTGGTGGTGTCTACAGCTACCACAGCCCTGCAAAGCTAAATCTACACACTTAGAACCAAGGATGAGAAGTGTTACATTATTAACATACAGCACATGGGACTCCTGAGAGTAAAAACAAGGGAAACAGTTAACCGAGGGAGGACGCAGCTTATAGAATGGAAAGAATCTTTGCTTAACTCTACATCAGAAGCTCAACCTCTAAAATGGCCAAAGAACTAAAAAAAAAAAAAAAAAAAAAAAAAGTGAAACAAGAAATAAAACAGCTTGATCAATGAGTGGACAAAGATAGTTCTAAAGAGATGAAATACATCCTGAGAAAGCAATGAGCTCTTTTGAAGATTTTGGATCAGAGGGACTCACAGGCAGCTGAGGCAGGGATAGGACGCCATTTTGGCCAGCAGCTAAGGGGTACTTCAATCTGGAGATGTATGTTATGGAATTGAGGGAATGAGTGAATGTTCCAGAGGGAGGATGTAGGAAGAGCATTCCACGAAGACAGTAGAGAAGATTTCTCAGCTAGGTGAGAGGAGGTCAGGAGTCTGGGTTGTAAAGCCCTGGGAGGGATCAACCCCTCAGAAGCTCTCTGTAACAGGAAGAAATGGGCGTTGATGCTGCCCGTGACGCCACATTTGACCTAGCTGTGGGACGCTGATGCTCCCTCTAGAAAGGCCAGAATCCTACACACTGGCCGGGCCACCTGCCCCTTCAGGTCTGATTCATGGCCTATAGCTTCAGGAGGGAAGGTGACTAGGGAAAGCCTCAATTCAGACACAGTGACCGCCTGTGGGGACCTCAGCTAAACAACAGGTGGCAGAGAGCAGCTTGTGCAGGACCAATCAGGTCACTGGAGACAGCGACCAAGGTTACATTTAAACGTCGTGTCCCCCCCCCCCCCCCGCCTTTCCACTATGGAAATCCACAGTCATAAACCATATTGACTTTAATCTCAAGTGCAGAAAGGTTGCCCAGGAATCTGGGAGCTGACCAACTAAAAACAGGTTTGTGTGGAAGCCAAAGCAAACAGAACCAGATCCAGAAGACTTTTTGACATCTGAGCCAGTAGTGTGCTTTTCCAGGAACCATAACAAACAAACAAACAAACAGGCAAACACAAAGGACACTGAGGCAAAAAGCTCGAGGAAGGCCTGGTCATTATGAATCTGCATTCCAGTTGGTACACAAAGGTGGAGTAACTGGCAGGTCGCAAACGGCAGCACAGGGGCTGGAGAGGCTCCTCGGCGTTTAATGGGTAGCCCTGTGTGTTGGTGTGCTTTGACCGGAGCTGCAGAGAGCTGCGCCGCACAATGGGAAGTTTTGAGTGGGATTTTCAGAAGAAATAACTTTGATCGTTTCAAAAGCAATGAAGCCTGAGGCGTCCAGAGAAAAGAAGGCAGTAATTTATGGCTACCATTAAAGACAGGAGACAAAGGCTGAAGGGAAAGTTGCACTAAGTGAAGATTTACAAATGTGTTAAAACAAAACAAAACAAAACACCACCCTTCAAACTAGGGCTAGTCCGTGTCTCTCTCAGCACCAAAAGGTATGGGAGGGAGGAGCCAGAGACAGAGGAAGGGATGGAACCTGACAGCCTGAACTGGAGAGGAAAGGTTAAAGGGAAAACGCAATTCTTTTCTCAGCGTCTCCATCCAGCAGCAGGAGAATATGTAAAATCCCGCCCAAAGAGACAGGCTGAGCCTGGGCCTTGAGCTGACACCAGGGCAGGGAAGCAGTCCTAGAGCTAAGGGGGTCGAGGGGGGGGGGCTGTAGGTGATAGCCAGAGCCCTGAGGAGACCTGTGTGCTCCTGTGTTTGAGCTAGGTGGGGGCTTCTGATGAGTTTTTTTTTCTACCAAGGAATTAATGTGTGTAAATATACATGTGCAGTAAGTATATTTAGATATATGTCCACATACACAGGAAGATGTATGCAAACATTCACAGGAGAAAATGGAGTAAGTACCATCAGAGAAACCCAGAGAAGAACATTCATGTCTCTGCATGTGGCCATCTGTTTCATGTAGGGCAGTGGTTCTCAACCTTCTTAATGCTGCAGCCCTTTAATACAGCTCCTTATGTTGTGGTGACCCCAACCATAAAATTATTTTCGTTACTATTTCATAACTGTAATTTTGCTACTGTTATGAATCGTAATGTAAATAGCTGCATTTTCTGATGTTTTTAGGCAATCTTTATGAAAGGGTCATTTGAATCCCAAGGGGTCTGTTGAGAACCATTGATCTAGGGGTTCATTAAGTATTTGTTCCTGGAATGTTGCTGACTGGAGAAAGATGGGAAGGCCTGGCTGGGAGGAACAGGTGGTAGGCAGGCATTGCTTCTTTCTGCAGCTCCCCAAATCTGATGTTTTAAGGTTCCACCTATGTCCTGGACAAAGTTGGGTGTTCTACTACTGCCTGTGGTGGCCCACCCTTGACCCCCTGTGCCCTTTTTTCTTTCACCTCTTTGCTGTTGAGATACACTTAACATTCAGAGAAGAACATTCAGAGAAAGAGAGAGACAGAGAGACAGAGACTCAGAGAGAGAGACAGAGAGACAGAGGGAGACAGAGAGAGACAGAGAAAAAGAGAAGACAAGACAGATACACACACGGGTTCTCACGGTGCCATCAGCTAGGGTATCAGAGAGTCTTGGCTATAGCCAGGCGCATCGGAGTGTGTTGGACTGGGCAAAGCAGCTGGACTCACCGCCCCACTAAGATAGCTTTGTCCTGAATTCTCCCGACAGGGTTTGTGGAACCCCAAGAAGATGTTGTTGGAGGGGTGCTGGGCCTGGGGTCCATTGTCCCGTTGTGTTGGGACTCAGCGGGGACACTTTCTGGGCGTCCTGTGACTATTTCATGCTGGAAAGACCCGGTCAAGTTGGAGGGCGCTCCCGAGAGGAGCCGAGGCTCAGGGCGCGCGGGGTGCTGCTGACAGCGGCTCGGGCCACGGCGGCCGCGCCCCCTCCGCCCCGGGCCGGGGAGGGGCCAGGCGGGCGGGGCGGCACCGAGGACCGTGTGAAACTGAGGCCGGGGCTCGGGGGCGGGCGGGGCCAGGGGTGTCGGTGGGCGCGCGGAGGCCGGGAGCCCGCACACGCCTCCTCGCGCCTCGGCCGCCGCTCCGCGCGCTGCGGCTGCCATGGGGGTCGCGGGCCGCTGTCGGCCTGGGGCGGCCCGAGCGCTGCTGCTGCTGCTGCTGCTGCTGCCGCCTCCGCTGCTGGTCGCCGCCGTCCGGGGCCGCGCTGACCGGCCGCTGGAGGGTGAGTGAGCAGGCGCGGGGCGCACCTGGCAGGTCGTAGGGCAGGGTCCCCCGGGTTCCCTTGCGTGGTCCCCAGCCCCCGGGAGCCCTCACCCGCCGTCCTCACCGTCGAGGAGGCTCCTGATCTGGGCTGTTGACTTCTGCTCTTGTACCTGTCGTTTTCACGGTTTCCTGAGAGTGCTTGCTCGCCAGATTGTCTGTCAGGGGCTGAGTGCAGTAGCGGGGACTGGAGCCTGGCTTCTCGTTCCCCCTTGTGTAAATAAGGGAAACTGAGGTCGGGCTCCTGGCAGTTTGACTCATTTTTCTCCTTTGGGGCTGTTAAGTTCTGCCAACTCCAGGATGAGCTGCAGAGAGTTCTGTGAACACCGAATAGCTACTGTCCCAAGACCGGGACTGTCCTAAGCCTCCAGGTTTGGAGCAGCCACGCTCCAAACCAGTAGGAAAGTCTGCTCTAATCGGACTTAAGTACTTTCAAAACTTTCGTTTTTATCTTCATATCCCGGAGCGGTGTCGACCCCGGAAATGCTTTGGCTTTGGTGGGTTGAGAGGACCGGCAGGGTTGGGGTTGGATCTCTGGAACATCATTCCTACATTGCACAGCCTGAGAGATACTGTTTGCTCAGAGACTGGGCCAACTTTTACCCCCACCTACATCCCAAACTCGGAGAAGGCTGAGGGACAGCTGTCTTGGCAGTCTTCTGGAACTTTCTGGCCAGCCCTGCTCTTTGCTCCTCTGCTCTAGCAGGCAGTCTATGATATATACTCATGTGCCAGGCGCATGCGCGGTGCTGGCTTGGCATCAAGGACCTGGCTCCGTTTTAAGGGCGCTGTGAAGAGCCAGGTGAGAGCGGACAGAGACAACCCTGCATACTCTCTGCTAGGAATGAGCTAAATATATGGGAGCACGTGATGCGGACGTCTACCCGACTTTAGGGGATCAGGGCTCACTTCCAAGAGAAGGCAGATCTGAAGTGAATCTCGGAGGCCTGTAAGGGATGCTTGGGTGATTCCTCAGAACAGGGCATTTGGAAATGGGCCTGGACTTGGTGTGGTTTATCCTAGGGTGCCCTGGCAGTATGGGCTTTGGAGGAGTAGAGTGGGCGGGCTGGTGGGAGGTGATACTAGAGCCAGATCGCTCACAGCTTGGAAACCATACCAGGTGCTTGCTGTGTTCCTTTGCAGATGTGGACGAGTGCGCTCAGCGGCTAGACGACTGCCATGTTGATGCGCTGTGTCAGAACACACCCACGTCCTACAAGTGCTCTTGCAAGCCTGGCTACAAAGGGGAGGGCAGGCAGTGTGATGGTAAGTGTCTCAGGGCCCTGGGTAAGTGGGCGGGGGGGGGGGGAGGCTGCCCCTCCTTAGTTCTCGCAGCTCACAGTTGGTTAAATGAGGACTTCTACCTAGGGTACTGCCATCTGCTCTTGGAAACGATTTTCAGATCCTCAAAGGGTTGGGGCATTAGTTCCTCCCCAGAGTTGATTACAGTTTTATCTGGCTCCAAAATGTTCTTTGGTGTAGCTTCTGGAAAAGGATATGCGATGCTTTGCTATCTTTTGGTTCTACTTCCCTGGAGACCAAGGACTGGAGTCCTGCCTTCTGCTGTCTTTGGAGGATCCATCCTGTCTGTGTTTTTGGGCTGATTGATTGGGACCTACTAGACTTTAGAATTATACCCAGGCACTGCCTTATTTGATTAACAGATTCACTCTGAAAAAATATGTGCAGAGGGAGAATTTAGCTCTTTGGTGCTCTAGACCTGGGGCCCTGAAGTCTGGACTCTGCCCACTGGGATTAGTTCAGTGTCTGAGCCACAGATCATACTGAATGGAAAGTGTTCTCCCAAGAGGGAGCCAAGTGCTAGCTATGGCAGGGCTCTTCAGGGAACTCTGGGTCATTTCCATTGCTCCTTTTATGGATGGAAACACTGAGGATTTGGGGCACACAAACACATGATCAGCCTGTGGGCAAAAGTCACACCCTCGTCTCCTTTCTGTCCCAGTCTGCAGCTGCCTCTCTGGTTGGATAAGACATCCCCATTAAATTGATGAGAGGTGTTTGGGCTCAGCTCTGCAGCTTCTCCTGCCTCTGGACCCAACCTTGATGAGCATACTGGAGGCCTCTTTCACTGAGAGTTTAAAATCTTTACAATTTGGGCTTAACTCCTGGTGGGAGTTGATCTGAATGCCCGCAGAAACAAAATCTACATAGTGAGTGAGAAAGTCCTGTCTAAGCCCTTGGAAGACTGCATTAACTTCTTCAGGCAGGAGAAAAGACAGCTTAATGCATGTCTGTTTGGCTGACATTTGATGATTTGACTTAGTATTCATGTCTTGATGTTTCAAATGACCCTGTCTCTGAGAAGTCCAGTTCTTGGTGTTGGGATAGTATCCAGATGTAACTGGTATGTGTGGTATACACTCATTTCTGGAGTTTGCTGCTCTTGTTTGGATTTTGAATTTTTTTGTTTTTTGAGACATGGTTTCATGTAGTAGTATAGCATGGCCTCAGACATACAGCCAAGACTGATCCTCTTGCTTCTGCCTTCTAAGTGCTGGGATTATAGGTGTGTACCATCACACCTAGCTGTATTTTCTATTTATTTATATAAGATTTACTTATTTTATGTATTGTGTGTTTTGTCTACATGTATATCTGCACACCAGAAGAGGATAGTGGATCCTATAGGATTACAGTTTTAGAGAGGCCTGAGTCACCATGTGGGTGCTGGACTTGAACCCAGGACCACTGAGCCATCTCTCCAGCCCTCTATTTATTTATATTTTTAATTATGTGTTTGCTTGTATCTGTATGTAGGTATGTGTATGTGAGGGCAGGTGTTCTTGGAGATTAGACTATTTTTCTTTTACTTTTCTAAAACTTGTGGTTTTTTTTCTTTTTAAGAGACTTTGCATTTAGAAATACGTTTAGACCAGAAAGGTTATGAAACCATGCAAAGCTCATGGATATTTTTCGCTCATCTTACCCCAACGCTGCCAGCTTACCAAAACACAGTACAGTCACCCAAACCAGAAAATCAGCAATGGCACGATGTCATTTAAAAACCAAACTGTAAACATCAGTCAAACGTCATCAGATTCTCCCCGATGCTGTTACTGCTCCAGAATCCGGTTCCTGGTCCCAACCCAGAGTCAGCATCTGTTCCTCTTGTGTTTCCCCAGCTCCCACTCGCTCTTTGTCTCACATAGAAACATTTTTTGAGATAGGGTCTTATGTTGCTCAGTCTGGCCTCAAACTTTCTGTGTAGCTGAGGAGATGATGCCCTCAAATTCCCGATCATCCTGCTTCCACCTCCCAAGGGCTGGGATTACAGGCATCGGACACCTCCCCTGGTTTATGTAATATTGAAGGTTGAAATCAGAGTTTCATTCATGTTAGGCCAGAATCTCCAGCCATGACACCAATACTTTAAAAAGGTTTATTTGATATGTACGTATGCTACACATATGCATGTGCCCGTGGAGGCTTAAAAAGGAGTATCTGATCCCTTGGAGCTGCCTGATGTGGGTGCTGAGAACTGAACCAGGGTCCTTTGCAAGAGCTGCAAGTGCTCCTAACTGCTGAGCCGCCTCTCCTTCTGATGAACACTGTTTTGTTCATTTGCCTTGTATGAAGAGGCAAAGAATTGATAGAGCTAGGCATGGTGGCTGAGACAGGAGGATTACCATGATTTTGAGTTCAGCCTTGGCTATACACTGAATTTAAAACCAGTCAGAAGAGAACGTATCATGTCTTCTCGTGATATGACTTGGTAGCATTGCAGGAAGGCTGTCACAGGGACCTTTCCAGGAAAACACAGCAGCGATATATGATGTCACTATGTGCCATTCGGATGATGCTAATCATCACCTGGTTTAAGATGGTGTCTGGTGAGCCGGGCATGTGGTGCATGCCTTTAATTGCAGCCCTCAGAAGTCAAAAGTGAGTGGCTCTCATGAGTTCAAGGCCAACCTCGCTTACAGAGTGAATTCCAGGACAGCCAGGGCTACAAAGAGAAACACTGTCTTGACAAACAAAAACAAAACAAAACAAATGGTGTCTACTGGTTTCTCTACTGCAAAGTTACTACCCCCCCCATTTATAGTGGATGCATATTTGGGGGAGCCAGGATCCTTCTTGTCCCTCAAGTCTTTGTTCTGACGTTAGCCTCTGACTGTGGATCTTGTCTGTCTGTAGCAGGTATCACTGTGGTGTGCTGACTGTGGATCTTGTCTGTAGCAGGTATCATTGGTGTGCACCTCCTTGAGACTTCTCACTGAGCCCCCTTATGCATCTCCAAACTGGGTTCTTTAAGGAAGATCTGCCCCTTGCTCGCCCGTCCATTCCTTCATTGGTTTTATAACATTATTTATTTTCAGATTGTTCCGGCTCCAGCTGTTGGAAGCTCCTTTTCGCTATTGCCTATGTCATTTTTCACATCCTGTTTTTTTTTTTTATATATTTTTTATTGTAAGCTCCTCCACACCTTCCTTATGTTTTCTGCTTGCCCTGGCACCAAACCCTTCCCACAGTGAGCTCTGGTTCCTTTGGTGGAAAAGGATCAGAGTATACAGAACCCAGGACTGCCATTGTTCCGAGGGTTCCTCTGTGCACACAGTTAGCATGTCCAGGCATGTATGCTGTTTGTTCATTTTTGCTGTTGTTTGTTTTTCTGAGACAGGGTCTCTCCAGTATATAGTCTCAGCTGTCCTGGGACTTGCTGTGTAGACCAGGCTGGCCTCAAGCTTACAGAGATCCACTTGTCTGCCTCCTGAGTGCTGGCATTACAGGTGTGTATCACCTCGCCTGACTTATTTATTCTTTGTTCTTGTTCTTATGCATATATGTTAAAAACTGTGGGTAGCGCTGACATTTTGAATTTTGTTGTCACTTCAGCCTTCTTCACTAGCAGGTTTTTCTTCCCACAGTAAGAAGCCAGCCCTTCCCTGCATGCGGCAATGGTGTGGCTGGGCAGTAGAGGGGGCCCCTGGCAGTGGTACCAGGATCTAACTCTCAGGCATGAACTGACTTTGTGGAGCTCATTCTCTATGGAGAGACATCTTGTTCAGCCTAGACATGGGGTGAGGGCGTGGATGGAGAATGGGGGAGAGGGGTTAGTACTTTACCGATGAGTCTTCCTTGTGTTTTAATTCACAATATATTTAGTTTGTTTCTTTGTGTGTCTCACGTATCCATTACGTCCCACCTGACCCCTACCCCTCCTGGTTACTTGTTTGTATTATGAACATAAACAGAATGTATTTGCATTTCTGAGAGTCAAAGCTGTGCCGAATTAGTCCTCAGCAGGTGCTGTGTCTTCTTGTTCCCCTCACCCTGCCCTGTGATTCCTCTTTCCACCCCTTTCCCTCTTATCTGTTGTATCCTGTTTATTCTTCCTTTGTCTTTTGTACGAATAAGCAAATAGATGCCTTCTTCCCTTCCTTCCTTCCTTCCTTCCTTCCTTCCTTCCTTCCTTCCTTCCTTCCTTCCTTCCTTTTCTTTTTTTCTGAGATTGATTTTCTGTGTAGCCTTGACTGTCCTGGAACTTGCTCTGTAGACCAGGCTAGCCTCGAACTCATAGAGATCCGTCTGCCTCTGCTTCCTAAGAGCTAGAATTAAGGGTGTGCACCACTGCTGCCCAGATGCCTATTTTCTTTTTATTAACAGCTTTTCAGATGCATCATGCATATACCATAAATTTCACCGATTTTTATATACAGATCAAAGGTTTGTAATAAATTGTCTGAGAGTTTTCAAACACTGTACTCTCTCAGTAAGATTTACTATGCACACTTCATTCCCAGCCCTTCCCCAGCAACAGCTAACCAGTGATCTCCTCCTGATACCTTCCTGGTCTCAGCAGCCGCTAACTAGCAACCTATTTCTAGCTCCTTTCCTGGATGCTTCATATAGATGAGCTCCTTGTGTTTGGATTAGTGCTCTTGGTGCTGCTTTTGAAGCAGTTCTTTCTGTAGTCTGTATCCATATTTCATTTCTTTTTAAAAAGCAGAGAATAAGTAGTCTGTGCTATAGATCTGCCATGGGCTTTGTTCTTGAGACAGAGTCTTGCTATGTGATCCAGGCTGTCCCCAAACTCATCAGACAGCCTACACTTGTGGCCTCTCTTTTTCTCTCTCTTTTATTGAAAATGGACTTTTTTTCTCACATAATATATCCTAATTACAGTTTCCCCTCCCTCTACTCCTCCCAGTTCCTCCCCACCTCTCCTCCCATCTGAATTCACTCCCTTTCTATCTCTCATTAGAAAACAAATAGGTTTCTTAAAGAATAATAGTAAAATAAAATAAAAATGAACACATTGGGCTAGGACAGAACAATCAGAAGGAAAAGAGCCCAGGAGAAGGTACAAGAAACAGATACAGATGCAGAGACACACTTATTTACACACTCAGGAATCCCATAAAAACACAAAACTGGAAGTCATAGTATATACTCAAAGGACCTTTAAGGTGAGAGGGGAGAGAGAGAGGAAGGGGATGGAATATGAGACAAGGAAGCCCAAAGGTGCCATCGAGTTCCTTTCCTGTTGGCATCTACTGCTAGGCATCCAGCCTACCCTTAAGAGGAGTTTGTTTCCCCGTGAGATTCCCTTGAGCAAACTAAAAATTTCATTTGCAAGTGGTTATCAATTGGAGGTTATTCAGGATTAGGGATGGGAAATTAGGGGTGGCCTTTCAGCGCCAGGACCCCATGTGGTGCAGACCCGTCTAAGTCTCTGTGAGATCATATGTGTGTTGGTCCTGTTGATTTAGAGGGCCTTGTCTGCTTGGTGTCTTCTGTCCCCTCTGTCTCTTTCTGCCTCCTCTGCTGCAGGGTTCCCCCACCCCTGAGGGGAGGGATTTGATGGAAATGTCCTGCTTAGGGCTGAGTGTTCTCAGGTCTGACATTTTCTGCATGTCTGCCCGTGGGTCTCTGGTCTCATTTTTGTACCCTTAGTTCTGTTCCATGATCTCCTTATCCTCAGGCTGCTGTTCTAAGGACAGCTTTATAGTAAGTTCCTCTGGATGTTTCTGAATGGCATTCGCTCTTCTGAGACTCTTTATTCCCACATAAACTTTATTCATGTTGAAATTCTGTATGCATGTGTTTTTTGATGTGTTGAATTTAACATATTTTAGGCACTCTTTTGCATTTTGATTTTTTCATTTAACAGTATATTAATTATTTCATCTTTTTTTTTTTTTTTTTTTTTTTTTTTTTTTNTTTTTTTTTTTTTTTTTTGGTTTTTCGAGACAGGGTTTCTCTGTGGTTTTGGAGCCTGTTCTGGAACTAGCTCTTGTAGACCAGGCTGGTCTCAAACTCACAGAGATCCGCCTGTCTCTGCCTCCCAAGTGCTGGGCGGTGGTGGTGCACGCATTTAATCCCAGCACTTGGGAGGCAGAGACAGGCGGATCTCTGTGAGTTCGAGGCCAGCTTGGTCTACAAGAGCTAATTCCGGGACAGGACCCAAAAGCCACGGAGAAACCCTGTCTCGAAAACTCAAAAAAAAAAAAAAAAAGATTCCCTCCTTCTAGATGACTCTAGCTTGTGTGTCAAGTTAACACAAGGCAGTCAGCACACACCCCAGCCATTAAATTGCTGTCCTAATTACGAACTTTTAGGTTGCTTCTAGTATTTTGTAATTTGAAATAATACAACAATTAATGAGTAGCGCTTGTTTATTTTTCTATCTGGGTGGATTCTAAGAAGTGGGGTGGCTGGCTACCAGGTAAATGCATACATACGTCTCCTGAAGAAACAGTAACTACTGGATTGCCTCTCCTTTACTTTCCAGACGTGGATGAGTGTGACAATGAGCTAAATGGAGGCTGTGTTCACGACTGCTTAAATATTCCAGGCAACTATCGCTGTACCTGTTTCGATGGCTTCAGGTTGGCTCATGACGGTCATAATTGTCTTGGTAAGAAAAGCATTTGACCATGGCCATTTTTCTCTCCCCACCCTCTAGCATCCTCATTCTTTTTGGAAACTTACCTGGTACATTTCCGTCATCAGGGTACTTGCCCAGCATGCACAAAGCCCTGCCTTCCATCTCCAGTGCGCAAAAGCAGGCATGGTGGTGTATGTCTGTCATCTCAGCACTTAGGAGATAGAGGCGAGCTGATCGGTAATTCAAGATCATCCTTAGCTACATAACAAACTTGAGGCCAGCCTGGGCTACATGAGACCCTGGTTACATAAAAAAAAAAAAAAAGAGATCAAAAGGTCAGGGAAATGTGGGTCTTGGCCCTTTAGACATTAGTCAATGTGACAGAAAACTGGGTAGGTAAATTGCAAATTGCTTTAGTCCAAGGGATGGGTGCCATTGACATTACTGTTTATTGAATTTTCTTCCTTCCTTCCTTCCTTCCTTCCTTCCTTCCTTCCTTCCTCCCTCCCTCCCTCCCTCCCTCCCTCCCTCCCTCCCTCTCTCTCTCTCTCTCTCTCTTTCTTTTGGTCTTTTGAGACAGGGTTTCTCTGTGGCTTTGGAGCCTGTCCTGGAACTAGCTCTTGTAGACCAGGCTGGCCTCGAACTCACAGAGATCCACCTGCCTCTGCCTCCCATGTGCTGGGATTAAAGATGTGCACTACCACTGGCCGGCTTTTTAAATTTTTCTGACATTGACTTACTGCCATTTATATCTTAGGTGTTCTATTGAAAGAATCCATCAATCCTTTAAGTATTATGTCTTTATTCTTGCCTCAGATATATTTTGGGTCACAGTCAGGAAGATTCCCATATATATATAGACAATAGCTTTCTGTGAGCATCCTCCAGGATTTCCGCAACTCAGAAACACTCCCTGGCATGTCCCCTTGAAGTGAAGACTGCAGAGTGTCTCCACCGGTTCCTGACGAGAGCTCTAGGTCAGAACCTAGAAGTCCTGGAGGATGGTGCTGAGGTTGCATAGAGTGGGGGGATGCAGCACCCCAGGCGGTCGGCTTTGCTTGGCTCACTCTATCCGCCCTGCAGGAGGGCGGTATGCTGATGACCCTTTCCAGGGCTGACCTACAGGCCAACTAAGGGGCAACTTGAACCAGGCTCTGTATCTGGGAAACAGATAGACAGATCTTCCTTTATGGTGTGGTAGGAATGGTCATGTGATCAGCTTGAAGAGCCCTAGAAGTGCCAGAGAGGTGGCACACTTGGTAAAGTGCCTGCAGTGCGAATTTGAGGACCGGAGTTCAGATCCCCAGCACCCGTGTAAAAGTTGGGCATGGCGGTACGTACTTGCAGTCCCAGCACTGGGGAGGCAGAGGCAGTCAGATCCCTGGAGTTCTTAACCAGATGACCTAGCCCAGTTAATGAGCTCCACGTCCAGGGAGGGACCTTGACTCAAAAATCTAAGTTGGAGAGCACCTGAGGAAGGCACTTGATCGTGAGCTCTGACCTCACACACGTACACACTTGCAGACACCCACATGAACACCCCTTCCTCTCTCTCTCTAAGTCCAGGTTGAACTTGTGTTTGAAAGGTTGGACTCTGGAGTGGGGCAGAGGAGGAGAACATTCCATTTGGGATTCAGCCCTGATATGACATTTCAGTATTGCCTGGCATGAACCTTTCTTGTCTGTGCCCATGACAGAGGCCAGGTTTGAGTGCACAGGCCTGTGGGCTTCCAAGCCTGCAGCTGTCAGTCATATCGTGGGTGGCTAGGGGAGTAAAAACTCCTAAGCGGGCAGCTCCTCAAAAGAATACATTGAGAAAGAACCCTGTGAGCAGAAATAAACCACAATGAGTTGAAAATTCAGACAAGGCTTCAGTTTGTGGGACAGCATACACACTAGGGTTTTGTTGTTATTGTTGGTTTGTTTTCCGTCTTTGGAGGAAGTGGTTTGCTGAAAGTGTCATTTTGAGGGGTGATATCTGATGGCTGACCTGGCCATCTCTGTGGGGAGTGAGCTCCCCGAGAGCAACAGGCTGGACAATCCAAGGTCTAACAATGCCAACCAAGGTCCAGTGGGGCTTTCTGAACAGATTTCCAGGCCTAGAGTCTTGCCTTAGGCAATAACAGATGACTCAGCTGAATGTCCTTGTCACCCACAAGGGTCATGAATTCTGTGGAGACCCTAGGTGTCCACTGAGCATGTGTGTAAGGGCTAAAAACTCTTAAGGGAAGGTAGTAGAGGACTGGGAGTATAGCTCAGTTGGGAGAATATTTTTTTTAATTTATAAAATTTTATGTGCATTGGTGTTTTGTCTGCATGCATGTCTATGTGAAGGTGTCAGAACTGGAGTTATAGACAGTTGTGAGCTGCCATGTGGGTTCTGGAAGAGTAGCCAGTGCTCTTAACCTCTGAGCCATCTCTCCAGCCCATTGGTAGAAAATTGTATTAGCCTGCACAAATCCCTGGACTCAATTTCCAGCACCCTATAAAACAGATATGGGGAACATGTGTAAATTCAGTATTCTGGAGGCAGAGGCAGGAGGATCAGGAGTTCAAGGTTATCCTTAGCTACATAGCAAGTTTGAGACCAGCCTGGACTACATGAGACCCTGTCTTAAAGAAGAAGAGGAGAAGCAAGAAGAGAGGGAGGAGGAGGAAGAAAGACATGAGGGAAAGCTGTCCATTTGGGAGAGTGGAGGAGGAGCACACAGAGGGACTTCTTTGGGCCTACATACTTTGTGACAAAATGCTTCTGGCAAGAAAGAACTCAAAGCCCAGATTCCTCTGGAGTGGCAGGTTCCTGTGTTTTCTGGGGTCATTTCTTCCCTATGGCCAGCCCCCTAAACACATTAGCTACAAATATACCCGGTAGCATGCAGAGTACAGACACCTCTCAGCTCCGAGGCCCTCAGTGCTGTAGTCTGGGAAGCAAATACATGGAACACAACAACACTCTTCCCTGCAGCCCGCCCACCTGACCTCAGTTCTGAGAGGTTTAACAGCACCACTGTCTGGCCTTACCGGAGTCCAGCTACACTGATGTCTCTGGAGGATGTAGCCAGGTCTCTGGGGACTGCTACAAGGTGGAGTCTGAAGACCCCCACTAGCTACTGACCCATGCTTGTCATGTGGGCACACGCTGTATTTATTCCATCTCAGTGTGTCACCAACGTGATAACACATTGCCGATTGTGTGGAGAGGAGACTTAGCAAGTGGCACAGGGAATGGGGCCATCGTGACCCAGGAGAGCTTGCCCTCAGGCATGCCAGGGAGATCCTGCTCACCACGCCCTCGCTGCAGAATGCCTAGGCCAGGTGTCCCAGCATGGGCTTCCTTTGGCATAGACGGGGCAAGTTTGTTAGGCTTCGGGGGATGGCTGCAGTCCCATCAGTTTAGGAGAACATTGCTCTCCAGTGTAGGAGGACCTGTGCCTGTAAGACCTGAAGCTTGAAACCAGATAACAGACATTTACATGTGAGTTTTCTGACTACAGATACACCCAGGATTCGGTGACAGGCACAGGACTATTAAGCTGGAACAGTGGTTGTTTGTTTGTTTTGTTTTGTTTTTTAAATCAGCTTTTTCCTTGAGCCATCTGAAGTTCTGAAAGTTTCCTTCTTTATTTATTTATTAAAGATTTCTGTCTCTTCCCCACCGCCGCCTCCCCTTTCCTTCCCCCTCCCCCAATCAAGTCCCCCTCCCTCGTCAGCCCAAAGAGCAGTCAGGGTTCCCTGCCCTGTGGGAAGTCCAAGGACCACCCACCTCCATCCAGGTCTAGTAAGGTGAGCCTCCACGAAACTGCCTAGGCTCCCACGAAACCAATAGGTACAGTAGGATCAAAAACCCATTGCCATTGTTCTTGAGGTCTCAGTAGTCCTCATTGTCCACTATGTTCAGCGAGACCGGTTTTAACCCGGGCTTTTTCAGACCCAGGCCAGTTGGCCTTGGTGAGTTCCCGATAGAACATCCCCCTTGTCTCAGTGTATGGGTGCACCCCTCGCGGTCCTGAGTTCCTTGCTTGTGCTCTCTCTCCTTCTGCTTCTGATTTGGACCTTGAGATTTCAGTCCGGTGCTCCATTGTGGGTCTCTGTCTCTGTCTCCTTTCATCGCCTGATGAAGGTTAATATTCAGGAGGAAGCCTATATGATTTTCTTTGGGTTCTCCTTCTTATTTAGCTTCTCTAAGAACCCGAATTATAGGCTCAATGTCCTTTATTTATGGCTAGAAACCAAATATGAGTGAGTACATCCCATGTTCCTCTTTTTGGGTCTGGCTTACCTCACTCAGGATGGTGTTTTCTATTTCCATCCATTTGCCTGCAAACTTCAAGAAGTCCTTGTTTTTTACTGCTGAGTAGTACTCTAATATGTATATATTCCATACTTTCTTCATCCATTCTTCAATTGAAGGGCATCTAGGTTGTTTCCAGGTTCTGGCTATTACAAACAATGCTGCTATAAACATAGTAGAGCATATACTTTTGTTGTGTGATAAGGCCTCTCTTGGGTATATTCCCAAGAGTGGTATTGCTGGGTCCATGGGTAGGTTGATCCCGAATTTCCTGAGAAACCTCCACACTGCTTTCCAGAGTGGTTGCACAAGTTTGCATTCCCACCAGCAATGGATGAGTGTACCCCTTTCTCCACAACCTCTCCAGCAAAGGCTATCATTGGTGTTTTTGATTTTCGCCATTCTGACAGGTGTAAGATGGTATCTTAAAGTTGTCTTGATTTGCATTTCCCTGATCGCTAAGGAAGTTGAGCATGACCTTAGGTGTCTTTTGGCCATTTGAACTTCTTCTGTTGAGAGATCTCTGTTCAACTCAGTGCCCCATTTTATAATTGGGTTGATTAGCCTTTTACGGTCTAGTTTCTTGAGTTCTTTATATATTTTGGAGATCAGACCTTTGTCAGTTGCGGGGTTGGTGAAGATCTTCTCCCAGTCAGTGGGTTGCCTTTCTGTCTTAGCAACAGTGTCCTTTGCTTTACAGAAGCTTCTCAGTCTCAGGAGGTCCCATTTATTCAATGAGGCCCTTACTGTCTGTGCTGCTGGGGTTATACGTAGGAAGTGGTCTCCTGTGCCCACGTGTTGTAGAGTACTTCCCACTTTCTCTTCAATCAGGTTCAGTGTGTTTGGACTGATATTGAGGTCTTTCACCCACTTGGACTTGAGTTTTGTGCATGGTGATAGATATGGGTCTATTTTCATTCTTCTACAGATTGACATCCAGTTTTGCCAGCACAATTTGTTGAAGATGCTCTCTTTTTTCCATTGTATACTTTTAGCTCCTTTATCGAAAATCAGGTGTTCATATGTTTGTGGGTTAAAGTCAGGGTCTTCTATTCGATTCCATTGGTCGACTTCTCTGTTTTTATGCCAATACCAAGCTGTTTTCAATACTGTAGCTCTGTAATAGAGTTTGAAGTCAGGGATGGTAATGCCTCCAGACGTTCCTTTATTGTATAAGATTGTTTTGGCTATCCTGGGTTTTTTGTTTTTCCATATAAAGTTGATTATTGTCTTCTCCAGATCTGTGAAGAATTTTGATGGGATTTTGATGGGGATTGCATTGAATCTATAGATTGCTTTTGGTAGAATTGCCATTTTTACTATGTTGATCCTCCCAATCCAAGAGCAAGGGAGATCCTTCCATTTTCTGGTGTCCTCTTCTATTTCTTTCTTCAAAGACTTAAAGTTCTTGTCAAATAGATCTTTCACTTCCTTGGTCAGAGTTACCCCAAGATATTTTATGCTCTTTGTGGCTATCATGAAAGGTGATGCTTCTGTGATTTCCCTCTCTGTTTCCTTATCCTTAGTGTATAGGAAGGCAACTGATTTTTTGGAGTTGATGAAAGTTTCCTTCTTGACTCTGGTCATCTGCTCTGTGTTGTTTGTTGCTCATGCACTGATGTTATGAACACTAACCTGTCCAGTGCTCTACTAAGTTATACGATTTTATATTGTATTATATAACAAAAACCTGTATGTATCTGCCAGGCGTGCACACTTAGCAAGGACCCACAAAAGGTAGCGAGAAGGCTCAGCGCAGCTGGGGCAGGGTCTCAGGCCACAGTGAAAGGAAGGGAGCGGTACTTCCTTTCTGCCAGTGTCTTTCCAGGTTCTAGGGACTCCTGCTCACTCCTCTGCTGAATCTTCCCTGCCCCTGGCACTGTCCAGAATTCTCTACCTGGCTTGCGCCATTCTGCTTTTCCACAGTTCTGGCTTTGGCCCTCTCATCATCCACAAGTGAATGATGTTCAAAGCTGTGCTCACACCACCCCATGGTGTTCACACTACCCCATAGTGTTCACACCACTCACAGTGCTCATACCGCCCCACAGTGTTCACACCACCCACAGTGCTCATACCGCCCCACAGTGCTCACACCACTCCACAGTGCTCACACCACGACCTGACACACTAACAGTCAACTCTATCTTTTTTTCTTTTTTTTTGAGACAGGGTTTCTCTGTGGCTTTGGAGCCTGTCCTGGAACTAGCTCTAGTAGACCAGGCTGGCCTCGAACTCACAGAGATCCGCCTGCCTCTGCCTCCCAAGTGCTGGGATTAAAGGCGTGCACCACCACCGCCCGGCCCATTTCTGTTTCTGAGACCGGTGTTAGTCTTTCTAGAAAGCCTCCATCCTGTCCTCCAAGGAGCACTGAAAAAGTGACGGTATCCCTGGGGCATCTTGTCAATCCAGCAGTTTTCTCCGCTGGCCTCTCCAGCTTGCCCCAAGGGCAGCTGCTCTGTTCTGCTTCTTCCCACAGCACTGGTTTGGACTGTCTCTGGTGCACATTGTGCCAGACCCTAGGCTTTCCCCCATCTCTACTGCTGCCTGAGATTTCCCAGAGAGGGTGCTTGGCTGTGTACCTTAATCTATCTTCCTGAATGTACCTCCTGTGACTTCCCTCCACGTCTCCCAGGCTCCAGCCAAATGGCATGACTCACTGCTATCCAATATACTCAAAGCTCAAAGCTTCCCAGCCTCCAAGCAAGGGGAGGGCTCTGGCCCTCCAGCCTGGAATCTCTCTTCTCCAGGTTTGTAACTGAAGGACTCCTAAGGGCCCAGCCCTTGTAGGCTATCCCCACAAAGGCCTTGCTGATAGCACACAATCGCCTGCCCCTTCCCTTCTTCCTCCCGTCCCACCCTTCATCTTATCTTAGGACCCATTGTCTAGCATTTTTTTTTCTGTCCTGAAGGCATTCTCAGGAAGCTAACCCTTATCTTGCCCATCTGGCCCTGTGCTTTAGAAAGTGAAGGTGTTCCGTGGCTTTTGTGAACCAATTATTTTGTGTTGTCCCAGGGGCTTGTCTAGCTGAGCCCCAGACCCATGGGGGCTGGGTGAACCAACCACCAGCTCTTTTGGCTCAGGAGGGCATCTCTTAGCAGGAATCCCTGAGCGCCCTAGCTGGGTGGGGCTTTGAAACAGCCACAGCGGTGACTCTTGATCCCTCTTTCCTTCCAGACGTGGACGAGTGCATGGAGAACAATGGTGGCTGTCAACACACCTGCCTCAACGTCCTGGGGAGCTATGAGTGTGGCTGCCAAGAAGGTTTCTTTCTGAGTGACAATCAGCACACTTGCATTCACCGCTCGGAAGGTACCTCGGCCTGGCTGAGGGTGGGAGGCAGAGTTATCAGAGCCCCCCCTCCCCTGTGCACAATGACTTTATCAGGGAAGCAGAGTGCTAGTTTTGGAGGTTGTGGACAAGTCCAGGATGTGCTGGCAGAAGGACGTAGCTCTGTTACCTTCATCTTCGTCACCTAGCAACGTGACAGTCTGTGGGATCTCAGGTCTTCGTAAACTTTCATACCCTCTGATCCTAATCTCTAAATAGAGTACTTTTCAGACACCAGAACATGGCTCTGGAGAAATTAGGTGTATTATTTGCCAAGTTTTTCAAAAGGACGTTGGGAGCCACAGCACCAGTTCAAGCCTGCCCCTTGCTCTGCGCTGGGGGTGGGGGCAAGAGTGGGAGCTGGACCCTCCCCCTGGGTCTAGCCTCTTGCAGCCCCAAGCCACAGCAGGCCCTGCTCTGAGTTTTGCATTTCTTGCCTTCTATACTTCTAGGGCTCTGTGTTTGTGTGTGTGTGTGGGGGGGTGTAAGATTCCCCTTTCTGGACTAGAGGTTCTCTGTGTTCCCTTTCTCCTCACCCATTCAGCGGTTACCCTTCTCTGATGGTCTCCCTGTCATACTCTTTGCTTTGAGTTTATGCCTTTTATTATTATTATTTTAAAATTCCCATGACTTTGACAGAGTCTTGAGAGGGAGAGGCAAGAACAAGTAACTAATCAGTCAATTCTCTTCTTCTTCTTCTTCTTCTTCTTCTTCTTCTTCTTCTTCTTCTTCTTCTTCTTCTTCTTCTTCTTCTTCTTCTTCTTCTTCTTCTTCTTCCTCCTCCTCCTCCTCCTCCTCCTCCTCCTCCTCCTCCTCCTCCTCCTCCTCCTCCTTTGAGTTTTTGAGACAGGGTTCCTCTGTAGCTTTGGAGTCTGTCCTGGGACTTGCTCTGTAGACCAGGCTAGCCGCGAACTCACTTGCTTGTTTCTATATTCCAAATGCTGGGATTAAAGGCGTGCACCATCACCACCCGGCTTCTAATCAGTTATTTTTAACTGAATGTCATCTGTTTAATTCTCTGCTTCTTCTTAAGCCACACAGGCACTTCTCAGTGGTTGTATTTCTATGGTGTTACATCTGCCTGTTTTTAGATTTGGGAGCTGAAATATTAGACAATCCATTTTAGCCTATGATGTTTATGGATTCCCACCTCTTTTTTTTTTTTTTTGTGGTTTTTCAAGACAGGGTTTCTCTGTGGCTTTGGAGCCTGTCCTGGAACTTGCTCTGTAGACCAGGCTGGTCTCGAACTCACAGAGATCCGCCTGCCTCTGCCTCCTGAGTGTTGGGATTAAAGGCGTGCGCCACCATCGCCCGGCTGGATTCCCAAATCTTAAGCGTGAAGTCTCTTTAAAAGTTTTTCCATTCTTTAATTACAAACTTATAAACTTATTGTTTATCATGGCTTTAGTGGATTTTTCAAGGTTTCCTCATGGAAAGCGCTTGTCAGAGAAGCCTGGGTGAGGCAGCGGGTTTGACAGCGTTGTCACCCAGTCTCAGTGCTCACGTGGGGGGAGTCAGACACACTGGTTCTGATTTTTCCTCATGTCAACTGTGGCCCTTGAAGGGTAGTGATGACTTCTTTCTTCCTGCTGGGGTCTCTGGATCCTGGTGGCATTGAATGAAGTTTCACAGGAAGTCAGAACTGGAGATGGGAATCGTTTAAGGAGGCAGGCGGAGAATGACAATCTCAGAGCGCCTCTCCTTTGCTCTGACTTTCTCTTCTGGTGGCTGAGGAGGGAGGCAATGACCTGCTGGTAAAGCCATTGCCTCAGCACCCCCAGGATAGACTCCACCCACCCAGGAGGGCTTCCGGTCTCCTACATACATTATGTTCCAGACCCCTGGCAGAGTCTCCTCTCCTCCTACAAGCCCCTAGACTGATTTGAGATCCAGGCTTCTCAGAGCAGAGGTAAACATCAGTGTGGTTCTTTCTGCGAGCTGTGCTAGAATTCTAGCTCTTCCACAGTTCAGACATTCTTGGATCCCCTGATGAGTACTTAACATGAGCATAGATGTCTGGAACTGAAACCCAAATCCGAGAATTGCCTTTGTGGTCTGGAAGTGCTCTGATTGTCTATTGTGTTTCAACCTGACTGCTGAGCAGATTCCTGCCAGCGCGAGCCAGCAGGTTACAGCAGTGTGCAGTGGGGACCCCCTTTCACCCTAGGATTTCATTCTTTGAACCAAACGACTTCTAGACAACCGTTCCTTAGGACCCCCTCCTTCATGTATACAGCATCCTTCTGGAGACTGTGTTCAGATAGACCTTAAAATCCACAACGGAAAGCAGGTAAAAGGGAGGTAATGTCACAGGCTAGTATTTTCTATTGCTACTGCTTTTTTAAAAATTATTTACTAAGTATTTTTCAATAAGGGGAACTGCTAGCTGATTTTGATGGAAACTCAAGCTACAGAATTTTTGTTACAAATCCTTAGAAAGCCCAGAGCTGAATCAAAAGAATGTGTGTTTTCACCCATGTAATGGAGGGTAGGCTGGTGAGAAGCATTGCCGTCAACCCGCCTTTGTTCCTATTCAGGGGTGCTCAGGCTCTCAAACTGAGCATTTCTCCTTTGTCTTGGCTGCGCTGAGGGTGTTTGGACAGTGGACTGATGCCCTGGCCGAGCTGCTGGGAGACATCGGGGCCATGGGGAAGACTGCATTCAGTAGTGCATGGTTCTCACTTTATGTATTTTCTGTCACATTCTCAAGGAATAATCTTATTTTTATAATAATAGTAATCATTATTATTTGGCTTTTGAAGACATGGTTTCTCTGTATAGCCCTGGCTGTCCTGGAGCTTACTCTGGCTCCTTATTCTGTTTTAAGTTCCCAGAAATCTCCTACAGAGGAAGGCTGGCCAGGGAGCAAAGGTTTGGGGAATCTCCACGATTTCTGAGCATCTTCCCTTTGGTAAAGCCTTAGCTTTAGACATGACTACCAGATCAGGTCCTTGGGGAGTTAGGGCCCTGGCTGGCCTTCCTGGTTTGAACCAGATCTATCTACCTCCTCTAGCCGTGGCCATATTTTGAGTTGGGGTGCTGGGAAGGGCTTTGGGGGTCACCTCTTGAAAAGCCACCCACACTTTTAGAGTTGTCTCAATCCTCATCACCTCCCGGTGACTTCAGGTCCAGTTTGCTATGAGGGGACACCAGGGGCAGGCAGTCTCTTTGTGTATCCTGATGACTTCTTGTCTTTGGTATGAAATATTTCTTGTATAATGAACTCTGGGACCGCAAAGGTCACTCTGCAAATGCCTTAGGCACACAAACCAAGTGAGAGATCTAGAAGGTGAAGGGAAGTTGTCTGGGGATGGACTTTCTGTGGGCTCCTACCCCTAGATTTCGAGCACTGTTACCTGCAAGTATCCCCCTGCCTCAGTTACTTCAAAGGCTCCACTGACCCAAAGACAAATACAAGGCTTGCTGGGTCTTTTGGGGGAGGGAAGGACACTCCCTCCGTGGGCAGCTCTCACCTCCTGTGCTGTTTCAGTACTGGGGGGGGGGGTGAATGACATCTTCATAAAGGGCCAGCCAGAGTGGAGAGACCAATGCAGAAACGAGTGCAAACCTCTTTCTCTGCTACTTGACAGCAGCCCTTGGCAGCAGCCTTTGAATCCCAGCAGCGTGAAGCAGACTGTGTGGGACATACAGCTCAGAGCTGTCAAATGGAAACAAGGTGGTCTTTGGGCAGACCCAAGAGAGTAGAGGACGCCTTCACTGCGGCCTTGTTTTTTTGAGACAGAAATGTCATTGGAAGTAACTGTCCCCCAGACACGCAGGCAGAGAGGACACTCACTCACTTTATTAGAGTCTGTGGTTTTAGGGATAGAATACAAAATAGTGTTCAGTCCTAGTGAAGCCGAAGAAGACCTTCCAGAACTCAAGTTTAAGACAGTCCTACTTCTAGTTAGAAAGTCTCGTGGGCTTCCTAACCATTGAGAACCAAGCCCCTCCCTCTTCCAGGGCTGTTTCTGAGTTGTATTACACAAATGCCAAGAAACAACATGTGCACGCATCCTTACTGATGCAGTCCCGACTGGGAGGACAGCATAGGCTTATGCTTGGGTCTGGGACCTAGGCAGCACAGTCTCCGTGAGCTGGTCTCCTCATGAGGCAGGCTGCCGATAAACCCTCGCAGACACTTCTGCTGCTCTTGTACCATCTTTCCTAGCAGTGGTCTGCGACCCCCTTGGCAAACCTCTGTCTCTGAAAATATTTACATTATGATTCTTAGCAATAGTAAAATTACAGTTATGAAGTAGCAATGAAAATAATTTTATGGTTGGGGGTCACCACAACACGAGGAACTGTTAAAGGGTCTCAGCGTTCGGAAGGTTGAGAACTGCTAATTTAACTACTGAGCCGTCTCTCTAGCCTCAGCTCCTCTTCCTTAGGAAAATTTGAGGCATTGTATCTCTTAGGTGACAAAAGAAATCTTTCATGTCTCTGTTAATTGTCCCAGCCTGATTTTAATACATATTCTTTTTATGTATTTATTGTGCGTGTATGTTTTTGTGTGTGTGCACTCCTGTGTATACCCACAGGCCATTGCGCATGTGTGAAGGTCAGGGGACAGCTTGTGGGGATTGGTTCTCTCCTACTGTGTGGGTTTCAGGGATAAAACTCCATTGGTCAGGCTTGTTAGTAAGCGTCCTTTACCCACTGAGCCATCTCACCAGTCAGCCAGGCTTTGAAAAGTGTGGCTGGGGTCATCTGGGTGGTACAAGCCTATTAACCCAGAACCCGGGAGGTAGAGGCAGGAGCATGATGATGTAGCTACGTCTGAACATAAGTTCAGGGTTGGCCTGGGCTACTAGGAAGATCCTGTTTCAAAAATAAAGACAAATGAGATATGGAGCCGGTAGGGATCCCGGAGGGCATGCCTGTGGCCGTCCCATATCCATCCTTGCAGCTCTCCACTCTGTCACCTGCTCCCTGTTGTTGTCTTGCAGAGGGCCTGAGCTGTATGAACAAGGACCATGGCTGTAGTCACATCTGCAAGGAGGCCCCCAGGGGGAGCATTGCCTGTGAATGCAGGCCTGGTTTTGAGCTGGCTAAGAACCAGAGAGACTGCATCTGTAAGTACGAACTGTCACTGGGCTGCGGTGGGGTCAGAGAAAGAACCGCAAGTCAGGGACGCAAGAGCAAGCTGTAGGAGGCCTGGGGATTGAGCTCGGGCCGTCAGACTCAGTAACAGGTGCCCTTGCCCTTTGTGCTCTCATCAGACCACTGAGGTTTTTTTACTTTGTTTTGTTTTTTTTCCTTTTTGAGACAGGGTTGTTCTGAAACTAGCTCTGTAGACCAGGCTGGCCTCAAACTCACAGAGATCCTCCAGCTTCTCCCTCCCAAGTGTTGGGGTCAAAGGTGTGTATCACTACCACTCAACTCTTTTTTTTTTAAATTAAATGTTTTTAAGATTTCAATGCTTAAAAGTACTGTTTGTTATGACATTTGAAGAACTTTTAAAAAAGTCACATTCCTGTGATCCCAACACTTAGGAGGTAGAGGCAGGAGGATCAGGGGTTTAAGGTCACCCTTGGATACTTGCTTTAGAATGAGTTAGATGGCAACCTAGGCCACATGAGACCCTATCTCAAAATGCCAAGCAAAGTGGGGGGAATATAACCCAGGATCGCATAGCGTAGCTGGTTCTTTTTTTCCATATTCCTATTTAGTCATCATTCATATGCATGCCCAGATTTCACATAGGTGTGATTATAGCACAAATATATAATTAGTTCTTTTAAATTAGAAATATTACACATGTAAAAATTGAAACACTGAGAGGCATGTAGTGAAAACCTGCCCTCCCCTCCTGTTTCCTTTGCCAGAGGTTTTCCTGTGTGGCTGGCCTGGAGCTCAGAGAGACCCACCTGCCTCTGCTTGCTGAGTGATGGGATTAAAGGTGCGCTGTCTCCCCTGTTGCAATCCCATAGTCTCAGAGTTGACTTTTTAAATTTTCTTTTTGGCCCACCATCAGTGCTTTCGTACACGGTCTTCATAATTCTTGGTCGATGTTGCGATCACTGTGTGCAGAGTTGCCGTTTCCCCTGGCTACCTTCTCTTGTAACCAAACCAGGTGAACTTTGATGAGAGCTTCCCTGACCGAGACATGCAAATTAAATTAAAAGTTTGTTCCAGACACGAAGTGCTTGAGAATTTCCAGAAGCCTTGGGTACAGCAAGGATAGCACACCTCAGTAGAGAGGAAAGCAGAGGCCAGAGTCCTTGGTTTAACTCCCCCCACACACTGAGTTCTTCCCCACCCAGCCTTCCCATCTCCGACTCCGTATACTTTGCTCGAGTCTTGTCTTGGTACTCCTGTGGTTTCCTGTGACACGGTGACATTGCATACACAGGCACAGACAGTGTCTGAGTGGAAGGTCTTTCTCATATCAAGGTCAGACGTGCACTAGGTGCTCAGATCCTTGCAGAGCAAAAATCAATTTTGGGGGGAAGCACAGTGGTACACACCTTAAATCTCAGCACTTGGGAAGTAGAAGCAGGTGGATCTTTGTGAGTTCAAGGGCACCCTGGGCTACACAGTGAGCTACACAGGTTGGCTACAGAGTGAGACCCTGTTTTTAAAAGTGAAAAGTTCTTTGGAAACAAACCTAGCCCCGGTGGTGGAAACCTCAGTGCTTTATGTATTGACACATTTCCATCTCAGTGACTTGTAACCATGGAAACGGTGGGTGTCAGCACTTGTGTGAAGATACAGCTGAAGGCCCCGTGTGTAGCTGCCATCCACGGTACAGGTTGCATGCTGATGGGAGGAGCTGTCTGGGTAAGTGATTTCCCCTCCCTCCAGCGGAAGGTCCACCTTCCTGCCCACCCCTACCCAAGCCCTCTTCTTAACCTTAACCCTCAATAGTGTTGAACCGCACTAAACAGTTGCACGTTATGGCCAATACCCAAGGCCCCTTCACGTGCTACAGTAGGAGGGGCCTACTTTTGGGTGGGAGTCCCTCTCTCTTTGCAAAGCTCTTCCTCCTCTCGTGGACTGGGCTGTTCTGAAAGCTGGTATTCTAGAGACCTGACAATGTATTACAAAGGAAGAGGGTAATGGAGGATAGAGCTGTCTATGTGTGATGGCCCAGTGACCTTTACAGTCAAAATCTGCCCTGCGTTTCAGACATGACCTTGCTGGCTTTCTTGGAGTTCTTTTTTTTGAGACACATTTCTCTGTAGCTTTGGAGCCTGTTCTGCAACTCACTCTGTAGGCCAGGCTGGTCTTGAACTCACAGAGACAAGTCTGTCTCTGCCTCCCGATTGCTGGGATTAAAGGTATGCATCACCACAGCCCAGCTCTCTTGGAGTTCTTATCTTGAACCGAGAATTCTGCAGTCACCCTGAAGCTTGTATATCCTGGAGTCTCTTTGGCTGGTGCATTATATTCCCAACCCCTTCCTATACTTAGTATTTGTAAGGGTCTTGGGTCATTTAATATGCTGTTTCCCAGAGAGCCATGTAATGGCCTGTTTTTATGGCGTGGACACTCACACACGTCCCATTGCTCACGTTTCATGCCTGAGATTGCAGCAGAAATGGTTGCTCGGAGAATGAGTGATCTGATCGTTCAGCCTGACAAGTGTGGTTTTGTTTCTCTTGTAGAGAAAGAGGGCACCATCCTGGAGGGGACAGAGAGCAACGCCACATTAGTGGCCGACGGAGATAAACGGGTGAAGAGACGGCTGCTCATGGGTATGGAACCTCTCCTCCTTGGCCGTCACTGTCCCCGTCCCTCTCCTGAGCTTAGAGCCCGTGTGTCCCTGGAACCTCTCCTCCTTGGCCGTCACTGTCCCCGTCCCTCTCCTGAGCTTAGAGCCCGTGTGTCCCTGGAACCTCTTCTCCTTGGTCATCATTGTCCCCATCCCTCTCCTGAACTTAGAGCCCGCGTGTCCCAAGGCCAGCCGGATTGGGATGAGCAGCTTCTCTGAATCCAGGCTACGCTTTGTTCTCTTTCCCCAAACAGTCCTTTAATCATAGGCCAACCCCCCTGGCCCTGTGCCACTAAATAATCAGGTTAGTGCCCTAGCGCTGCCCAACCAGCTGTGAGACGTGGCAAACCTCAGTGAGACTCTCCCCGTCTGTAGGTCTCTCTTTAAACAGATGTAAGCACTAGGGGTGGAGCTAGTCAGAGTCTTTATCTAGCCTGTACAAAGCCCCTGGGCTTGACCCCACCACGACAAAAACTGAACTTGATGTCACAGGACTAAAACCTTAGTACTCAGGAGGAGGAGGCAGGAGGAGGAGGAGGAGGAGGAGGAGGAGGAGGAGGAGGAGGAGGAGGAGGAGAAGTTCAAGGTCACCTTGCTTATGTAATAAATTAGGGGCCAGCCTGAGATACAGGAAACCTTGTCTGAAAATAAATAAATATAAGGCAGGAAGAGCGGCAAGCAGGCCAAGGCAGCCCATTCATTTCCTGACCGCCCAGATCCGAAATAATCACACGGAAACTGTATTACTTACCAGACTGCCTGGCCTATTAGCTTAGGCTTCTTATTAACTAACTCCTACATCTTAACTTAACCCATTTCTCTTATTTTATATTTTACCGCGAGGCTCATGATTTACCAGTAATGTTCCAGCCAGTGTCTGTCTCCACTGGAGTCTACCTGGCGTCTCTTTGACTCTGCCTATTCTCTTTATATATCTCTTCCAGCCTGGCCATATTCTGCCCTGCCATAGGCCAAAGCAGCTTTATCTATTAACCAATAGGAGCAACACATATACAGAAGGACACCCCACATCATCAGCACGCGGCCTGGCGCTTGGGAGGCAGAGGCAGGCCAATGTTGGTGAGGTGGAGGTCATCCTGCTCTAGAGTGAGTTCCAGGCTGGTCAGGGACACGAGTGAGACCCCAGCTGAACAATAAATAAATAAAAATAAATAGAACGTAGTAAAATCCTTTAGGGTTATCAGGAAATTCAATTAAGATAGTAACATGAGGTCTTCAAGATGGCTCAGTAGGTATGCTGTCAAGTGTGGGGACCCGAGTAGATCCTGGGACCTACATGGTGGGAGGAGAGGAAGGATTCCCACAGATTGTCCTCTGACCTCTACACATACATAAATAGGATACTAGATTTTTACAAAGATAATAATATGCAGAAGCGCCCAGAGTCCATCCAGGCTGTGGGATGTGGTGGGTGGCCATGGGACGCCAGCTGTCTGCTCTCTGATTAGCCGTGGTGGCAGTGTCCTGGGTAGCCTCCAGCTTCGCATGGCAGTTTGTCTGTCTTTGTGCCCACCAGCCTTCCATCTCTGACCCAGCCAATGTTAGTGCTGGAGGAGCTGAATGGGGAAGAGTGGCACTTGGCTGGGGGGCATGGGACCGCTGGCCCACAGCCCCGGCAGTCAAGAGAGAGAGATGAGAGAGAAGAGGCAGTGGCCGCGGGGACAGATCTCTCAGCATGTTATTGTGGAGATTTGGTTTGATTTAAATAAAGCTGTTCATCTAATAGCTCCCGAGTTTGCTAGTCAGGTAAGATATTGACCAACCATTGGTTACCAAGCAGGGGCCCTTTCTGATCTCTTGCTGCTTGATTTTCTTTTCTTTCTTCCTTTGCACGTGTATGTGCATGTGTGTGCACGTGTGTGCGTGTGTGCGTGTGTGCGCACTGCTCACCCAGGCACACAAGCGTGGAGGACAGAGGTCTATTTTGTGTGTTAGCCTCTGGCACTGTCCACTTTATATTTTAAGACAGGGTTCTCTCACTGAACCAGGAGCTGGCCAACATTTGACTAGACTGGCTGACCATGGATTCCTCAGAGCCCTGTTTCCTCTTGTCTCCCAAATAAGGCTGCTAGGGATTCAAACTCAGGCGCGCGCGCGCACACACACACACACACACACACACACACACACACACACACACACACTTCTCCCATGCCCTTAATATAGCTAATCAAAATTTAAGTCAATATTAAGTGTTTACATTACTGTGAGCATCTACACACAGTGCGTCCAAGTCCTGTGACGAACTGCCTTTTTATTCTTCCTTTGATTGCAAATAGGAGAGCTGTTTTCTAAAAACCACCCACCGGTTCCTTTTCCTTTGGGAGTCTGGCAGGGGTTTCTAAAGCGCTTCTCAGCGTGCTCAGAGGCAGCCCCACTTCTCAGCTCTCTTCTCTTCTCTGNCCCCCCCCCCCCCGTCTCTCTCTGCCTTGAGTGATAGTGAAGCTCTTTCTAACACTGCACATTTATAAGTCTGAATGAGCCCAACAGCAGAGGATAACCCCTTCCGGGCTGTTCTCAGGCATCCTGTGGCTTCACTTCCCATTTCGTTCAGAAAGGCTTTTATCTGGCTCTCTGTTACTCTCTTTATTTGCCTTCCTCGGTGATAACTGCTGGAATTATTCTCACTGGCTTCCCCACTGTCTGTGGACTTGACCTATTTCTTACAGGAAAAAAAAAAAAAAAAACAGAAAACAAGCCACCTACTAGTTAAATACAAATACTCCATCCTTTGTGTATATGTATGCAGCATAAGCCTGTGTGTGCATGTGTGAGCATGGGCGTGGGCATGTGCAGGACTTTGTGGGGATCAGAGGTGGACACTGGGTGACCTCTATTACTTCCACCTACCTTTTCTGCTTGAAATAGGGCATCTCACTGAACCTGAAGCTTGTGTTTGGGCTAGACTGGCTGGCTAGCAAGCCAGAGTAATCCTGTCTGTGCTTCAACCGCAATCCCCAGCACTGAGGTTACAGGTGTGTATGGTCATGCCTGGCTTAACATGGGTGCTGAGGATATGAACTTGGGCCCTATGTTTACTCAGTAAGCACTAGTATCCACTGAGCTCTCTCCTCATTGCTGATTGCTTCATTCTTCTTCCTCTTCAATATCCCAAACAATTGTTCGTACATAAACTTGCTTATAATAACTTCAGCCCAATATCAAAATCAAATTTATCCAGATTTCTACAACATTAACTAAATGTCTTAATTATTCTCTGTTTTCTTTTGATACTTGTCCATGCACAGGGATAATCCCTGCACATCACACATTAATTTTGTATTATTCTTTTCTACTTAATTCCACAGAAAGAACCATCTTCATTTTACTCTATAATCTTTCTAATCTGTTTTTGTTTGAAATTTTCTGAGCAAAAGACAAAAAGTATTTATTATTTAAAACCCTATCAGTTAAAAGTAATTACAAGGGGTTCAAAAGATAAAAAAGTATTTATAATTTAAAGACCTCAGTGTTAAAAGCAATTACAAGGGTTTCCCACCAAGCTAGTGTAGCGAGCACAGTGGCAGAAGCTCTCTGACTCCTAGCCTAGGGAATGATGAGGGAAATCCAGGGCACGGCTTATGTCTCTAAGGTCAGAGTCTGTCCATCTCTATGTCCTGGGACAGCTGCTTAGCACAGGGCACACCAGGGATCAGGGATCAGCTAGTCTGCAATTGCAGAGGCAGGCACAAGAGGATAGGTGGACTCTTGCCCTGTAAAGGTGATCACAACTTTCATGGGGGTGGGGGGAGTCAACCTCTCTAGTAGCCAGGAATAAGTGGTCCCCAAGAAGGACAAGTGACAATGACTTACTATTAACTTGGATGCCAAGGTCTGGGGAGCTTCAGGCCTTGAAGAGGACAGGCTCCTTTTGAAGGGCTTTGAAGCCAGTCCCAAAAGGCATTGCAGGTGACCCATGATATCTGTAGCTCCCTTTCTGGAAGTGAGATAAATCTTATATGGCCTAGATTCAGATTGTTCTGAGGGCAGTAGAGAAATACTATCCCTACACATAGGCAGGATAGGATAAGAGGAGAAATAGTATCAATAAGGGAAAACAACCCTACAATTAATCACTCCAAGTTGACCAGAAGATTAAAATGAAGAGAGGCGTAAAAAGAAGTATTTCTAAGAAATATGACTGAAGAAACACATGATCTCCAGGTGAAAATTACTCATGTCTTCCTTATATAAAAACAAATACTTCAAAAATAATTATATAGTTGGTGTTGAAAGAGAAAAGATAAAATGTACCAAGCAATTGAAGATAACAGCAACAATATACACACACATACACAAACATGAACTATACCAGCAAAAACCCAAGATAAAGTGCTGGAGTATGATTTTGAGAAAAGAAGCTACTTGGAAGAAGGAAGAGGAAGAGGAAGAGGAGGAGGGAGGAGGAGGGAGGAGGAGACAGGAGAGGGGAGGAGACAGGAGGGGGAGGAGGTAGGAAGAAGGAGGAGGAAGGAGGAGGAAGGAGGAGGAGGTACTCAGGAGGAGGAGGCAGGAGGAGGAGGAGGAGGAGGAGGAGGAGGAGGAGGAGGAGGAGGAGGAGGAGAAGTTCAAGGTCACCTTGCTTATGTAATAAATTAGGGGCCAGCCTGAGATACAGGAAACCTTGTCTGAAAATAAATAAATATAAGGCAGGAAGAGCGGCAAGCAGGCCAAGGCAGCCCATTCATTTCCTGACCGCCCAGATCCGAAATAATCACACGGAAACTGTATTACTTACCAGACTGCCTGGCCTATTAGCTTAGGCTTCTTATTAACTAACTCCTACATCTTAACTTAACCCATTTCTCTTATTTTATATTTTACCGCGAGGCTCATGATTTACCAGTAATGTTCCAGCCAGTGTCTGTCTCCACTGGAGTCTACCTGGCGTCTCTTTGACTCTGCCTATTCTCTTTATATATCTCTTCCAGCCTGGCCATATTCTGCCCTGCCATAGGCCAAAGCAGCTTTATCTATTAACCAATAGGAGCAACACATATACAGAAGGACACCCCACATCATCAGCACGCGGCCTGGCGCTTGGGAGGCAGAGGCAGGCCAATGTTGGTGAGGTGGAGGTCATCCTGCTCTAGAGTGAGTTCCAGGCTGGTCAGGGACACGAGTGAGACCCCAGCTGAACAATAAATAAATAAAAATAAATAGAACGTAGTAAAATCCTTTAGGGTTATCAGGAAATTCAATTAAGATAGTAACATGAGGTCTTCAAGATGGCTCAGTAGGTATGCTGTCAAGTGTGGGGACCCGAGTAGATCCTGGGACCTACATGGTGGGAGGAGAGGAAGGATTCCCACAGATTGTCCTCTGACCTCTACACATACATAAATAGGATACTAGATTTTTACAAAGATAATAATATGCAGAAGCGCCCAGAGTCCATCCAGGCTGTGGGATGTGGTGGGTGGCCATGGGACGCCAGCTGTCTGCTCTCTGATTAGCCGTGGTGGCAGTGTCCTGGGTAGCCTCCAGCTTCGCATGGCAGTTTGTCTGTCTTTGTGCCCACCAGCCTTCCATCTCTGACCCAGCCAATGTTAGTGCTGGAGGAGCTGAATGGGGAAGAGTGGCACTTGGCTGGGGGGCATGGGACCGCTGGCCCACAGCCCCGGCAGTCAAGAGAGAGAGATGAGAGAGAAGAGGCAGTGGCCGCGGGGACAGATCTCTCAGCATGTTATTGTGGAGATTTGGTTTGATTTAAATAAAGCTGTTCATCTAATAGCTCCCGAGTTTGCTAGTCAGGTAAGATATTGACCAACCATTGGTTACCAAGCAGGGGCCCTTTCTGATCTCTTGCTGCTTGATTTTCTTTTCTTTCTTCCTTTGCACGTGTATGTGCATGTGTGTGCACGTGTGTGCGTGTGTGCGTGTGTGCGCACTGCTCACCCAGGCACACAAGCGTGGAGGACAGAGGTCTATTTTGTGTGTTAGCCTCTGGCACTGTCCACTTTATATTTTAAGACAGGGTTCTCTCACTGAACCAGGAGCTGGCCAACATTTGACTAGACTGGCTGACCATGGATTCCTCAGAGCCCTGTTTCCTCTTGTCTCCCAAATAAGGCTGCTAGGGATTCAAACTCAGGCGCGCGCGCGCACACACACACACACACACACACACACACACACACACACACACACACTTCTCCCATGCCCTTAATATAGCTAATCAAAATTTAAGTCAATATTAAGTGTTTACATTACTGTGAGCATCTACACACAGTGCGTCCAAGTCCTGTGACGAACTGCCTTTTTATTCTTCCTTTGATTGCAAATAGGAGAGCTGTTTTCTAAAAACCACCCACCGGTTCCTTTTCCTTTGGGAGTCTGGCAGGGGTTTCTAAAGCGCTTCTCAGCGTGCTCAGAGGCAGCCCCACTTCTCAGCTCTCTTCTCTTCTCTGACTGTCAGTCTCTTCTGAGGCTTCCCGCTGCTGTGGGAGGGTCTGACTGACTCCTGGCCTGCAGCTCTGTCAGCTGTGCCTTTCCCAGGGGCCTAGGAACCCCCTTTGCTGATCTCCTGTTTTGGCACTTTATAGTGTGGATGAGATAAAGGTTTCTAAAAACCTTGTGTCCCTCAAAATGCCTTTGCATGCATTCTCCCTCTGGCTTTCATGGAGAACTTGGCTCATTATAGAATTCGGAGTTGGAAGGGATTTTCTATCATCAGAGTTTTGACACCAGTGCTCATTGTTTTCATGTTGCCCCTCCATCCCCCCTTCATCCCTCCCTCCTTCCCTCTCTAATTTCACGTAGCCCAGGCTAGCCTCGAACTAAGGATGACCTTGACTTAGGTGCTGGGGGTGGAGCTAAGGGAACACTCACCCAGCTGAACTACATTCCCAGCCCTCTTGATCCAGGGTGGGAAACCTCGAAAGGCTTCACTCTGGGAGTTTTCAGGGCCCTGTCTTTGTCCTTGGTGATCTGAGATCTCAGGCGATGTCCCCTTTGGTGTGCTCTGACCTGCTTCACAGGGTCTTCTATGTCCTTTCGCTGCTGACAGCAGCAACTCCAGAGATCCTCTCATTTTCTTCTCCGTGTCTTTTGTTTCACTTTCTAGCTTGCTCACTTTTTCTACCTTCTAATCTTCCTGCAAGACTCTTTTTAAAAATTTCCACGTTCCTGTTTTCCCCAGCATTTAGGTGGGTCTTTGTTACAGGGACCTGCTCACGTTTCATGGATGCTTCGCTTGCCCCCTGAAGAAATTATGTTTTACTCTCTCCTTTTCTCATGTTATCTTTTTTAAAAAATGGATGTTGTTATTGTGTGTATGCATGCCAGTGCAGATCCCTCAGAGGCTTCAGATTGCCCTGGGGTTGGAGTTACGGGCAGTTGTGAGCCACGCAGCATGGGTACTGGGACTTGAACTCAGGTCCTCTGCAGGAGTTTGATGCACTTTTGTGCACTAAGTCATCTCTCCAGTTCCTTCCTCTGTTATCTTTGTCTTCTCTAAGTTTCTTTCTTTCTTTCTTTCTTTCTTTCTTTCTTTCTTTCTTTCTTTCCTTCCTTCCTTCCTTCCTTCCTTCCTTCCTTCTTTCTTTCTTTCTTTCTTTTTCTCTCTCGTCATTCCTTTTGGTGTATATCTAAAATACTAAATATCCTAAATATTTGGTAATTCTTTTTTTTAATAACTTTGTTTTTTTTTTAAACATTTATTTATTATGTATACAATACTCTGTCTGTGTGCATGCCTGAAGGCCAGAAGAGGGCACCAGACCTCTTTACAGATGGTTGTGAGCCACCATGTGGTTGCTGGGAATTGAACTCAGGACCTTTGGAAGAGCAGGCAATGCTCTTAACCTCTGAGCCATCTCTCCAGCTCCCAATATTTGGTAATTCTTGACTGATTTCATACTCAGTGAAAAGCTAAAAAGCCAGTTGGATCTCATATTGATTGATTGATGGGCTTTGTATCTGTGTGACTTCACATCTGAAGTCTTTTCATCTGTTCGAGTTGGTTAAGTTTCTGAGGAATCATTCAGCCTCTTGCTTGGAGATAGAAACTTAGCTCCCAGCATCCCTGGCTGTGTGGGTTTAACAATGTGTCTAGGCACAGACTTTCATCTCATCAACTGTGTTTCTCCTTCCCTCCTCTACACTCCCTGACTTCCCCAGAGTGGGACCTGGTGTCACCTGGCTATCTGGAAATAAAAACTTGGTGGTGGTGGTGAGGCATTGTTGTGTGGGGGTTGTGGGGGTGTGGAGGATGGGCATGGCCAGAGGGGTCCTGTTTCCCAGGCAACCCATTCTATTTTTTAAAACTCCATCCTCACTTCTGCTTCCAAAAGAGCTTCCCATCTCCTGGCCTTCCTGGATTCTGGGGTTTATGACTTAGCCCCTCAGCAGCCCCTCTGCAGAGGCGAGGGATTAACTTTCTGCTCCATTGACATTCACTTCCTAATAGTTGACATCTTTTTTGTCTTTTCTTCCATTTTCTTTGTCCCTGAGGTGCTACACATTTAAGCACTTATTTAATCTCAGTGTAGTGAAATTTATTTATTTTATTTTTTTTTATTTTTTATTTTTTCGAGACAGGGTTTCTCTGTAGCTTTGGAGCCTGTCCTGGCACTAGCTCTTGTAGACCAGGCTGGCCTTGAACTCATAGAGATCCGCCTGCCTCTGCCTCCCGAGTGCTGGGATTAAAAGCGTGCGCCACCACCGCCCGGCATAGTGTAATGAAATTTTGAGAGGAAGCAAAGATATATATCTATATATCTCTCTATATGTAGATATATAGATATATAGATATATATAGTGTTTAATTAGTGCTAAGCTTGTCTCCTCAGGCTTTCAAATGAGGTAGCTATGTAAGTTCCTGGATTTCTGGGTGCTAGCGCTGAGTGAATGTTGGTTAGTGCTTACCTATCACTGAGAATGACCGTGGGAAATGAAGACCTTCTGGAGCTCATTTTCAGCAGTTATCACAGGCCTATCACAGAGACGTCGAGTAAGTTGGCATTTGCAAGGGCAAAGCCATTAGTGTGTAGCAAGGGAATGCTTGGGATCGCAGATGAAAGAGAAGCCCCTGGGATAAGAAGGGCATCCTCTTTTGCCCTTTCTGCACTCGGTCTAGCCTGCCAGACTGAGTGGTCACACTTAGCAGCTGTTGGCCGTGGGTCACCAGGGACCTGTCGTGGATGGAGAATCTTTCTCCAGGTAGGAAGGTAGCTTTATCTCTCTGGTAACCAGCTTTCGGAGCAGCCCTTCTTGAGGGGCAGGAGATGCAGTAACAACTCTCTTTCCGTGACACCTGCAGATGGCAGAGGCTTGGGGTGTGACTGTGAGCACCCCTCTGTGCTTTCCGGGGTGTCACTCCTTTAGGAAGCTAACCGCCCTTCCCCCTCTCGTCAGAAACGTGTGCCGTCAACAACGGAGGCTGTGATCGCACCTGCAGGGACACATCCACAGGGGTTCACTGCAGTTGTCCCATTGGGTTCACCCTCCAGTTGGACGGGAAGACGTGTAAAGGTAACCTTCACTTGTCCTGGAGCTGGGGGTTGTGGGCCCGAGGCCTGGGTGGAGGGAGCCTACACTGCTGATGTGTGGGATAGAGGCCTCCATGCCATTTCTGTGCTCCCAGCTTTGCTTATGATTCATATTGATGGGAGCTTTTCCTCCTTGGGCTAGTGGACGGTTGTAATTGAGTAAGCTTAATTAGAAGTGACTTAATTACACTAACTGTTGAGAAGGTCAGCCTCTGTAAGCACCAGATAATCCATTTCAGACAAGTGGCCTTCTTAGCAAAAGGCGGTTCATAGAACATTCATTGGCAGCAGATAACATCAACCTGTCATAAATAATAGCCTCGAGATTACTGTGTAAATAACGGCTGAGATTATTATCCTGAGCACTTAACGAATAACTGTACCATTAACTTTTACTAATGAAGACAGACCCTAAGGACTTGCTGGTCTTTCATGGGCAAGAGTACAAAGGGTTCTTAGTCCTTTAGCATGATAAAAAGACAGATAAACTGGTTATGAGATGAAACTGGGGAAAGATAAGATTAAGTATCAGGAATCATTAAGAAACGTTGAGACTATTTGGTTATTGTGCAATCTGCCAAAAACAAAAGCTTGTGTCCCTTATGGCTTTAGTCATTAAGCAGGAATAGAAAGTGTACTAATGGTGGTTGTCTCATCTTTGGAGGACAGTAGAAGATGAGAACAAATTGAGCATGACATCACCACTCCTTCCAAGGTTTCTTTGCTCAATGCTTCCAATGTCATGGACAGTCAGACTGGTTAGCTGGACGAGGGACTTGTCTTTCAGCCAGACAGGAAGATGCTTGTATGACTGAAATTCTCAGTGAACATTCTGAAGTGCTCACGTGGGTCTGCTTTTCTTTCTGAGGATGAGGGAAACACACGACAGCAGCTTGGGGACCGGGGAAGCCAGGCAGCTCCCACTCCCTGATTGTTACAGTGCTTGCCTGTTACAGATATCGATGAGTGCCAGACCCGGAATGGAGGTTGTAACCATTTCTGCAAAAACACCGTGGGCAGTTTTGACTGCAGCTGCAGAAAAGGATTTAAATTATTAACAGATGAGAAGTCTTGCCAAGGTGCGTGCTGAATCGGTCGGTAGCTGGGGTGTGCAGGGTGGGACAGAGACGGTGTGGTTGAGCTCTGCTCCTGATGGCGTCGTGGACTCTAGTCTCCAATCCGGATGTCACTTGCTTCATCTCAGGCTGAGTGAAAACAAGGTGTCGCTCACATATGTTTGGAACTAAGCTGTTGACATCAGAGACTGCCACAGAAAGCCCATCTGATGTGACTACAGCAGAAAGCCCTGCTAGAAAGGAAAAATGCATGATCAATCAGAGTTATGGCTGGATCTTGAGATTAGAGATCATTTTCCTCTTCTAAAATTTATTCTACTGCAATTGGATATTTGAGAAAAGTTGGCAAAAATCTGTGCATTTGGATAATACTTCTTCCTAGCAAAAAGCCGAGGTTGGTTCATCCAAACCAGCTGGTCCCTTCTTCCAACCCGTACAGTGGATGACTGCTCTGTGCACTTTGAGGTGGGTGGAAGGGGGTGATAGGAGAAATACTGCTTGGCTCATAGGAAGATTACAGACCCGACCCCTTTTCTTTTCTTTCTTTTACTTGAAGACTTATGTTTTTAAAGTTATTTTTAAATATGTGTATGTGTGTGTCTGTGTGTGGGCAGGTACATGTAAGGTGCCCACAGAAGCCAGAGGCATCAGATCCCCTGGAGCTGGAGTTAACAGGTAGTTCTGAGCCACCTGGTGTAGGTGCTGGGAGCTAAACCCCATCCAGTCTTTCGGAAGAGTGGTTGGTATATGCTCTTAACACTGAGCCATTTCTTTGGTCCCGGTCGACTCCCTTTCAACTGTATCCTCCCACATAAGGTGAGCAGCAGCTGTCAATGTTAACAGCTGATTTAGGACAAGCTTCATCTCTATTTCTAGATAAACAACTTTCATGCCTTACATACATAAGAAGGAAGTCTCGGGATAGAGACACTGTCATCCACCTTGTTCCATTTCTGGCAGTAAGGGCTGCCTTACTTATTTCATTAGACATCTGAGCATCGGGGACTCACTGATGGCTGGAAATGTAACTCTAACTCAGGTGGCAGATGCTTGCCTAGCATGCACAAAGGCCTGGGTTGGACCTCCAGCACTGCATAAACCGTACATGGTGGCACACACCTGTCGTACTAGGGCAGTAGAAGCAGGAGGCCCAGAGATTCAAGGCTATCCTTGGCTACATATTAAGTTTGAACCCAGCTTAGCTAGAGACCCAGGCAAAACAGACAAACAAAACCACAAAAACCTCAAACGGAAGCCCAACACTATATAAAAAACAGGATATAAAATGTAATATTGGGAGCTGGGGAGACCCATCTACATCCACCTACAAAGCTGGATGCGGCAGTGTGTACCTGTAATTCTAGTCGTGGGAGGCAGAGACAGGAAAATCCGTAGAGCTGAATGACCAGTCAGTTTGGTGGAATCAGCAAGTTTCAGGTTCAGTGAGAAACCTGTCTCAAAAAATGAGGTGGGAAGCAGTCGAGGAAGCCTCTGATTCTGAGCTTTCATACACACGTGCACACACATGAACACACACACACGCAAGACAAACGATGGAACAATGAGCCTTCATACACATGTGCACACACACATGAACACACACACACAAGACAAATGATGGAACAATTTTTAAGAAGGACACTTTACAGAGTGCCTTCCCTTTGTTTTTAATACATAATTTGCCAGGCAGTTCAAATACATTCTCCTTTAAATTCAGGGAGTTAATTCTAGATAATTATTTTGTGGTTTTCTTTGGTTTGACTTGGAAAGCAAATTTGCTGTTCCATACAATGTTTCATAATGTATAGGGCAAGAAATATGTTTAAGCTGTGTAAACACATTAAAAAGGAATTAGGAAAGTGATCTCATTATTTTTGGCAAAGCAGAGAGGTCCACAGTGAGCAGCCAAAGTCAGCTACTGAACAAGGGCCCTTCGTCAGCAACTGGCTGGAGTTAACAGATCTCACGGAATGGCATTGAGTGCCAGGAAGGAACTGACTTTTTCTTGTTTTCCACCGTTCCTCTTGGTAGAACAAATATTTGCGCAGAGTGAATTTGCTGAAGAAACTGTCAGGATTGCTGGGAAAATCCAGGGAAGAAGGGCTTTGTAAGAATTTCCCTTCTGTATTTTGCATTTTCATTTTTCTTGATCCACGAAACCCCCATCCCTGCTCACTGTTGTTATTTTGAGTTGAACTGAATCCTGATTGGCCTGGAAACTGCCTAAGCTAATGACCTTGAACTCATGGCGATCCTACCACCTTGACCTCCCAAGTGCCTCCCAAGTCTGGACACACACTACCACATCTGGCTAACATGTTTGCCTTTTATTACTATAGCTTTTCAAGGCATGTTTGGTGTAGACAAAGTGGTCCAGTCCAATGCTGTGGCTGTTGGCCACTAAGTGTGACCCAGGTTTATCCATTTGGAGGCACCAATTAAGACAGTCCCAAGAGTTCCAGGAGAGAGACAGAAAAACCCATGATCAGGTCCACAGATGCAGCTTCCAGAGTCGGTGTGCATGGCTCTGCTTGCTGTTAGGGATATGTCCCCACTGAGCCAGGGACATAGAGGACATGGTAATCCTCCCCCATAGAGGAGTAACAGAACAAGAGATTTTCCAAGTAGATCCATTCTGCCTTAACCGACCCGATTTCAGCATCTTTCATAGAAAATCACACAGAGGGCATTAAGACACAGGATCAACAGGTTTTTGGGGGCCAGAAGAGTAATTCTGTAAGATGAGAATTGTCTCCAACCAAAGCGTTTTCTCTTTTTGTTTCACCATTTAGACATAAATAGATAAAATGATAATGAATGGCTAGTGCTGGGATTAAAGGCGTGCACCACCACCGCCCAACTGTGAAGCTATTTTTAGGTATCTCATTTGCCTTCATGTATGTTAGTTTGTTTTCTATTGCTGTGATTAAACACTGTGATCAAAGCAACTTGGGAAGAAAAGGCTTTATTTGGCCTACATGTCATATCACAACCCATCACTGAGGGAAGTCAGGACAAGAACCTGGGGTCAGGAACTGAAGCAGAGGCCATGGAGAGACCCTTCATATTGGATTGCTCTCCATGGCTTGCTCAGATAGAATTCTTTCTTTTTCTTTTTAAATGCTATTTTTATTTTATGTGCTTTGGTGTTTTGCCTACGTATATGTATGAGGGTGCCAGATCCCCTGGAATTGGAGTTACAGACAGTTGTGAGCTGCCATGTGGGTGCAGTTCCAGAACCTCTGGAAGACCAGCCAGTGCTCTTAACCACTGAGCCATCTCTCCAGCCCTTCAGCTAGTTTTCTTATACCACTCAGGACCACCTGCCTAGGGATGACACTACCCACAGTGGGCTGGACCCTCCTGCATCAGTTGTTAAATGCTCCACAGACTTGTCTGCCAGCCAGCCAGATAGAGACCCTTTCTCAGTTGTGAGTTCCTCTTCTCAGGTGACCCCAGATTATGTCAAGTTGATAAAAACTAAAACAACCACAATTTATATAACTTAAATTTCTCAGCCCTGCACATGAGTGAGTGAGATCACATGAACATCAAAGCAAGTATAGTTTGCGGTAGAATTTACAACCAAGCGGCTGGAGAGATGACTGGGCTTAAGAGTACTGGCTGCCCTTCTGGAGGTCCTGGTTTGGTTCCCAGCACCCACAAGGTTCCAGGGGACCCGACACCCTCACACAGACATATACATGCAGGTAAGACACAAATGCACATAAAAACAAATCTTTAAAAAGAAAAGATTCACAGTCAAGGAACGTGGGAATGACTGTAATTATGACAGCTCCTCGACACAGTCTTTGATACAAATGAGCAAAGCAATGGGTTCATCAGTCTTCCTTACCTGTGTTGTTTTGAAGTTAGTCAGCAACTTGTGATTGCTACAAACGCCTCTACCCACACAGCTGAGTTGGCATCAGCTCCCCTCTCTCTTTGATAATTACAGATGTGGATGAATGCTCTTTGGAAAGAACCTGTGACCACAGCTGCATCAACCACCCTGGTACATTTGTTTGTGCCTGCAACAGAGGCTACACACTCTATGGCTTCACCCACTGTGGAGGTGAGTGGACCGGCCCTCTATGGGAGCCCGAGCCCGAGAGCAGGGCCACCATTGAGGTTTATCATCCTATACGGGACAAAGAGTGCATTCGTGGGAACATGTTAGTATTTACCCCATTAGTACATTGGGTATGGAATGGGGTGCAGAGGACCTGAGCTCTGTCAGCTGTGGATTCATCAGTGAATTGACTTGTGCTCATATTTGGAGAACGGGGTTCTTGCAGGAGCTGAGACAATAACTCATTCTTTCCAGCAGAAGATAATGTTGCTGTCTTCAGAGAGGCTTGGCCGGGCACCAAGCAGACGCGTAGTTCTGTTCTGCCCAAGCGCGGGCTGCAAAGCCTTGGTTCAAGCCCTAGTCTTAGGCTTGGATCTGGAAGGTGGCACTGACTCTATCTCTTCATTCTGTGCCCGTTTAACAGTCTCTGCTCATGGCTCACACCCTTACGGTGTTCCTGTCCGTGGCTCAAACCTCCCAACCCAGGCTCATGCCAGTGGGGAGTGCAGTCAGCAGATGCGTGTCCCTGAAAACGCCTGTCAGCCACGAGACTTGTCTACTGTCCTTCCTCAAGGGAGAGGCAGTCAGCCCTTGACGTGACTGTTGTGACAGGGGACCCTTTTGGTTCCACAGACACCAACGAGTGCAGTGTCAGCAATGGAGGCTGCCAGCAAGTTTGCGTCAACACCGTGGGTGGCTACGAGTGCCAGTGTCATCCAGGGTACAAGCTCCACTGGAATAAAAAAGACTGCGTGGGTAAGAGGTGCCATCCTTCCCTAGTTCCCACGTGGCTACAGGCTCATCCTGAGTCCAGGGTTTGAGACTCTGTATGCTCCACACTCCACCGGGCTCAAAGTGCACCTTTCCCATGGAGTCCCCTCCCTGGAGTGGCAGCAGCTGGTCTTTAACAAGTTCAAAAACCTTGCAGGTTCCTTGACATTCAGCTCTGTGCTTCTGCCTAGATCGGAGCTTGCTTCTGTTTCGTGGTTGCTTCTCTGCATGAACAGCAGACAAGTGTCCCCTTGACCTCTGTGGGAGGCGAGGCTGGGGAGGGAGGTCAGCTCTGCCGTCTTTCCGTGGGGCCTTTGGTGTCTTCGGCTCTCCTTGCATTTGTGTGTGTGCTTCTTTGTCCTGTCTAGAAGTGAAGGGCTTCCTGCCCACCAGCACGACGCCCAGTGTGTCCCTGCACTGTGGTAAGAGTGGTGGAGGAGACAGCTGCATCCTAAGATGTCACTCTGGCGTCCACCTCTCTTCAGGTGAGTGAATCCCGGCACAGTCCTCATGGCATGGCCTGTAGGTGTTGGACATACTCAAAGGGCATCTGGGTCTGGACCAGATACTTCTTGAACCACCAGAGCCCCACGCTTTGAGAGCCCATATCCTGGGTATTTTTCTAGTGGCCTATGTGGAGTGGGGTGGGGGTGACTTTAATTGCTACCAGGATAGTCTGTCATCTTGCTTATGCGTTTTGACAATTCCACATTCTATCTGTCAGGACTGCAAGAGGCCTACTCTGTCACCTGCGGCTCTTCCTCTTCTCTCAGAAGCAGACAGCAAAAATCAAACGACTCTGATTTTGGGGGTAATTACCAAACTGTGCTCTTGCAGGGGCTCATTGCATTTAATGCTTCTTCCCTGGGGTGCTGCTCATGGGGGTGACTTTGTTGGCTCTTTTCTTATCTGGATGCTCTGAGCACATCACAGGGTGTTCTTGTCCACAGCTGTGGTGTCTTGCCTACCTGTGGAAACCAGACTTACTGAGTGTCCCCTGTGTACCTGGAGGTCCTGTTCAACCTGGGTGGGTCACCATACTGAAAGAGGGCCACAGAGAGAACAGTCTGTGGATCCCAAATTCACTCTATCCCAGAGCACTTTAAAGGCCCAGTACAGGGACATTGGTGGAGGTGGCATGGACAGGCTAGCAGAAGTGGGGTTCTGTCTCAAGAAAGACCCAGACCTATTCCACTTTGTCACAGTACTAAGAATAAAAGTCCAGAGTTTTCTGGAGGCCTCATCTTCCCAGAGAAGGACACATTTGCCGTTTTGTTACAAAACTGTCCAAATAGAGAATTACATTATATCTTGATGTCTATATTATAAAGATGTCAAAAGTTTGAAATACCATGCAAGATGGTAGTTTAGAAGTTAAAATACTCCAGATCCTATACACTATATTCCATAGAATAGGCTATTTAATTCACTTGAAACTTTATGTATTAAATATTAGAGGCAGGTCTCACTTTGTAACCCAGGATGACCTTGAATCATAACAGTCCTGCCTCAGCTGCCTAAGTGCTGGGATTGTAGCCGAGTTTGCCACACTTGGCTGCAGCAGTTTTATTATTATCCTCATTAACCAAAGAAACCAAGGCCCAGAGGGATGGAAGAACTTACTCAAAGTGACTCAGAAAAGAAACAGAGGAGCCAGGATTTGAACTCAAGCAGTTTGAGTTCAGAGTCTTAAGTGCTGTTCTTTGCTGCCCATTCTGATGGATGTTAGGATCAAGGCAGAGGAGGAAACACGGTCTGGTTCATCTGGGATGCTCTAAGCATTGGTAAGGGAATAGCTAGCAGTCCTTACTACGTACCAGGAAACCAGCTAAACATTTATTTTTGCCATTACCTCATTTAATCCTTAACCATATCCTGGTAAAACAGGTGCTTGCTTAACTGTGTGTACTTAACACCCGAGCAACCTGAGATGGGGAAGATTAAGGGATGTGCTGAAGTTTTCACAGATCAGAGGGCTTTCGAATAGAGGCATGGGCTCCAGCAAAACATATAGTTAAGATCTATTTTGGGAGAACAGAATTCTGTACTATTCCATCCCAGACCCAGAAGTGGTAGCCACATCTGGACTGGCAGCCCTGCCAGCCCTGTCCTCTCTGGGAAGCCACACACGGAAGAGACCCCCCCTAGCAGTCTTGTTCAGATTCAAGCAGAAGGATTCTCGCCCTCCTCCTCTGGAAGACACAAAAATGACCTCATCTTTCGTCTGGCTGTGGAGACTGTTTGGGGCCCTTTCTCTGTTACATTTAAACATTGGAGCCATCTCTCTCTTGAGATAAGTTTGACTCTGAGGAGGTTTCAGGTGAACCTGTGCGTGCCAATGGGGTCATCTTAAGAGGGGTTCATCAGCTACAACATGTAGTGAGGCCCAGCCAGGGGAGCTTGCCACCACCCTCTGGGTGTTCCCTCCTTTGCCTGGAAAGGTAATTTCTTTTACTTATTTCTTTCTGAAGATGCCATCACCGTCAGGACAAGTGTAACCTTTAAGCTAAATGAAGGCAAGTGTAGTCTGCAAAAGGTCAAGCTGTCTCCCGAGGACCCGCGACCAGCGCTACCAGGTATGGAACTGGATGGCTGGGGCAGGGAGCTTGCCTGCATGTTGGGTAAGGGACCTGCGACCAGCTGAGCTGGAGATGGCTGTCCAGCTGATGCAAGCACATGTCAGATGTCACAGCCATTCAGAATCTCCAGGAGGAGTGGAGCTAACCCCCGTGCGGTTCTGGGCTTATCCCCAGAAAGTCTTTTGTGAGGTCATTGTTGAGGCTCTGGGGAAACACTGGAGCTCATCCGAGTCAATGGGGCTTGAGATGAATCAGCCACTTGGGACTGCTTTGGGTTAATGTTTCTGATCTTAGGGTTTGGTTGAAGTGCAAGCTATGATAAAAAAAAAGGGGGGGGGGCTGACTTGGGAACAACACCTGTGAACAGACAGAATGTCCAGGGTTCTGGCTGCTCTGCTGTTTGGAAACTGTGGCCCCAGGGCCAGGAGGAAAACAAATCTTCCAAGGATGGCTACGCTTACTGGAACAGGCGAACTGTGCCGCTTTCTTCCCTAGCTTTGCTTTCCATCAGAACCTCAGAGAGTACTTGTGGAGTTGAAGATAAATCAAGACATAGATTAGGAAGTCTACCCTGAAACAAATGAAACTAAAGCTCATGCTAGCTATTTTGACTGCCTGCTGGTGTACAATCAAGATGCATTTTGGTGCCCCATTGATGGAACATGTGCACCTACTAATTATATGTATTCAAAGAATGTTAATGGTGTGGGAAGGTGTCTTGTTATGTGGCCGAGATAGTAGTCAGGTGTGGTGGCGCACACCTTTAGTTCCAGCACACAGGGGCAGGAGGCAGAGGCAGGCGGATCTCTGAGTTTGAGGCTAGCCTGATCTACAGAGTAAGTTTCAGGACAGCCAAGGCTACACAGAGAGAACCTGTCTCCCCAAACAAAAACAAACAAAAAAGAGATAGAAAGGGGGATAGTAGAAGTCTATATGTGTAACTAATCAAACTTGTATATAAATGGAGCTGAAGGAAAAAGCCCCAGAAAGCTGGATATATTATTAGTAGTGATGATGTCTGGGTAAGACACATGGTGGGTGATTCTGATATTCTTCTATATTTTTCATGTTCTCTTTTCATATTTATACTTTTCTAACTTTTATTAAATTTGCTCTTCTAAAATGTCATACATGCATACATTGCATCCTGATGACTGACACCCCTCCACCCTCTTTTCCCTCCCTCCTGTCCCAACCCCTGTCCCCTTCCTTATGAGCTGATTTCCCACACTCAAGCCTTTTTGCTTTGCTTTGTGACCGAGTTCAACCAGGGCCGTCCGTATGCCCATAGGCTTGGAGTAACCACTGGGAAGCTGAGGGCACATTGGTAGGTATGCAGCTGAGGAGAATGGCTGTCCTCCCTCAGAATCTGTCAGTACATAGTTCCGTAGGGAGGGATGGGGCCCCATGAGCCCCTCTGAGCTCTGTGATTGACTGTTGGCCGGCCTATTGCAGGTGGCCGCAGCTGCAGTGAGATCATGGTCGCATTGGCTGTGTCGTGGACAAAAGAAAGCATGTCACAGCCTCCTCCCCGTCTTCCGGCTCTTTCTTTCATTCTGACCCCTCTCCCGAGATGCTACCTGGTCTTAATGGCTGATAGGAATGCCCTGTTTAGGGCTGAGTCAATTTTCTTTTTTTTTTACTTTTAAATTAGGAAAGTATTTTTATTTTTAAATTTTATTTTATGTGTATGGGTGTTTTGACTTCATGCGTACCTTTGTGCCACCTATGTGCCTGGTGCCCAAGGAGGCCAGAAGAGGGTGTCTCATCTCTTGGAACTGGAATTGCAAGCACTTCTGAGCCACCCTGTAGATGTTGGGAATCAAACCTATGTCCTCTAAAAGAACAGCCAGCGCTCTTAACCGCTGCACCATCTGTCCAGCCCCAGTATGACTTATTTTTCTTTTCTTTCTTTCTTTTTTTTTTTTCCGAGACAGGGTTTCGCTGTAGCTTTGGAGCCTGTCCTGGAACTAGCTCTTGTAGACCAGGCTGGCCTCAAATCACAGAGATCTGCCTGCCTCTGCCTCCCGAGTGCTGGGATTAAAGGCATGCACCACCACCGCCAGGCTGTATGACTTACTTTTGGAAAGTGATTTTTATTTGTGCATACATGTGAGTGTGGAGCCGGCAGAGCCCAGTCAGCTAGATCTCTCTGGAGCTGTGAGCCGCCCAGTGTGGGTGCTGAGAATCAAACTCTGGGCCTCTGCAGGAACCACTGAGCAATCTCTCCCGCCCAGGAACGTACTATTTAAAACATAGATTCGGTCTGGAGCTTACTTCATAGATTGGACCAGTGCTGAAGATGTTAACTAGCAGGAGGAACTCAGAGGAGGGTGGGCAAGGAGGCTGTACTTTTCGTCAGCTTTTCTGTAAATCTAAACTTGCTTCAAGATACAAAGTGTCAAACTAAAGAACTAAACGTGGTGACTTCCACCTGCAATCCCAGCACTTGGGAGGCTGGGGAAGGAGACTGTTGTGAGTTCAAGGTTGGCTCTGAGTACACAGTGAATTCCAGGTCAGCCTGGAACACAGAGCAACATTTGTGTAAAAACAAAATAAATAGATAAAATAGTGTTAGGGCCAGTGAGGTGGCTCAGTAGGTAAAGAAGCCTGCTGCCAAGCCAATAGCCTGCTTCGATCCCCAGGACCCACACATACGGTAGTGAGAACTGTCCCCTGACTTCCATACGCACCCCCATGGCACATGTGAGCCATGACATGTGTGCAGTCGCACAAAAATGTAACCACAGTAAAAAAGTAAGGTAAAAGTAGTTTTCATATAGATATGGGAAGTCGGGCAGGGATGGTGCACACCTTTAATCTCAGCATTTAGGAGACAGAGGCAAGAGATTCTCAGAGTTGGAGGCCAGCCTAGTCTACAAAGTGAGTTCCAGGACAGCCAGGGCTACAGAGAGAAACTCTCTTGGAAACACACACACACGCACACATGCATGAAAACTGAAAGGAAAACAAGTTCAGATTTAACATCCATTAAGCTTTGAGGTTAGCTCTTTAAACATGTAGAACAGGACTGAAGAGATGGCTCAGACTCAGAGCACTCTGGCTGCTCTTCTAGAGGACCCAGGTTCAGTTTCCAGCACCCATGCTGGGCAACTCACAACTGCCTGTAACTTGAGCTCAAGACATCTGACATCTGATGCCCTCTTCTGGCCTCCTTAGGCACCTGCACACATGTGGCACACACACACAAACACACACACACATAAAAATAAAAATACTTTTTAAAACTATAAAATATATGTTTGGAGGAAAATATAGGTAGAAAATGAATTTGTATCTTCCTCTGGCCACAATGGTCTATTGCTTTGTCATTAAAGACTATAGCACAGATAACCTTTAGTTCAATGAAATCAGTTTTAGAAGAGATGCAAGAAGGTTTTGTGTATATGTGGTCCTGCTTTGTAGTTTGGTTTGGTTCAGTTTTGTCTTTTGAATCAACAGATTCATCAGAAGCACTGGGCAGAGGGGACACCATGAAAATCGAAAAATCAAGAATAGGGATGTGCAAAGTCCACCTCCTTTTTCTGTAGGCGAGGTTTTTCTGTGTAGTCCTGAATGTCCTAGAACTCACTCTGTAGACAAGGCTGCCTCTAGAGACCCGTCTGCCTCTGCCTCTCAAGTGCTGATATTAATGGCATGGGCTACCACCCCCCGGCTGCAAAGCCTGTCTTAGAGCTGGCCTTCCACCTCACCCTGCGTGGAGACTGTTTGGTTCTGCTGAATCTTGGTGCCATTTGCTTTGTTTAAAATGAGACATCACTGTTGATGTCTGTTCTGTCTCTCCCTTTGGAATGGAGTTGCACTAAGGTCATTTGGACAGGAGGAGGGGTTGGTTTCATTTCATTTCCTGTCTGAAGCTTCAGCATCAGGCCATCCCAGTCCAGCTTTGAGAACATCTATACCTTCACTAACCATCATCAAAAATACAGAACAATCGCTGCCCCCTGGTTCTTGTTCTCCGCATATGTGGCTGGCCAGTGGGAGACACCCAGCCTGTATCCATGGAAAGACTGTTCCAGAACTAGACTGTAACGTTACAGAGTAATGAAAATGTCTCCAGGCTCCAGGCTAGGGGCTGGCAATGGCTCGGCATGTGGAGTGAATCACGCGGTCCCCAGAGGGTTGTGATGAAATGTTTACTGAGCCCCAGCGAATGCTCAGCTCAGTGGTCTGCCAGGACTTGGCTTCCGATCATTTTGTTTCTTCATACAGAGAGGCACAGCTCAGTAAGAGAGAGCTTCCAGTACGCAAACCTTACATGCAGCTCTGGCAAGCAAGTCCCAGGAGCCCTTGGCCTCCCGAGTGCCCCTAAGGAAATGTTTATCACGGTTGAGCTTGAACGGGAAACTTACAAAAAGGAGGTGACAGGTTGGTCTGAAAGCCATCTGCGGTGCCAGGCTTCTCGGGACTCGTTTCTTCTCTCTTTGCCTTCCATTCCATCATTCCTGGGGGGCAGGAACTAAACCCTCAAGTATCTCCTGTTTGATTCCACCCTCACAAATTACACTAACTTGGTCTAGAACCTGATGGAGAGGTTTTCCCCTCCACTTCATAAAACCCAAAGCTACCATTTGGCTCTCAGAATTTCGTGTTTGAATTGGATGCTGCCCAGCTTGCTAGGTTCTCAGCTCCAGGGGACTTGGGATGTCGGTGGGGTCTAGCCTGGACATCCTCACTGCACCTGAGGACCTGTCCCCGTTTCCACAGCCTCCTGCAATCTGAGCTGCCTGGTAAAGCAGACTGAGAAGCGACTACGGAAAGCCATCCGCACGCTCAAGAAGGCTGCCCACAGGGAGCAGTTTCACCTGCAGCTCTCGGGCATGGACCTCAACGTGGCTAAAAAGTCCCTCCGAGCGTCCGAACAGCGGGAGGAGACCTGTGGAGTGGGGCAGAGTCAAGAGGAAAACCAGTGTGGTGAGTAGCCCAAGGTGATGACTGACATGCCTGTCGGGAGTGCTAGGCCTGTGTGTGAGCAAGGGAGCCTGTGAGAGATCTGGGCTACCTTCCTTCTCTCGGCTCACTCCTGAGACACCAGGGATGCTTTTTCTCATCTGCTAGCTGCTGTGTTTTCACCAGCCCTGGAGCCCCCCCCCCCCCCTCAGGAGCTGAGGTGGGACTTAACTGTCTTTCCCTCCTCCTTGGCATGTTTGCTGGCTCGTGGTAGGTGGCGCTTATGGAACTAAAGGACGGAAAAGCAAATGCAGGCTTGTCAACACTGGCCGGCTAGTTTGCGCCTCTAGACCACTCTCTTGTCGTGGTCTCTGTAGTTACTGCTTTTCGGATTGGCCCCTGGTGATAAGGAGTGAACTCATTTCTGTCCACAGTTTTGTGCAAAGGCAAAGCCAGACGTCACGCAAGTGCCTTGCAGACACCCGGGCTTCGAGCTAGGGCTCAAAGCAGTTTCAGTTCCATGCGTGGTGTGTTGTTGGTGTGTGTTTGCGTGTTTCAGAACAAATACCAGTTTCTAGATCCAGCAAGAGACTCCAGGGTGGTCAGATGTGAGATTTGTTCTGTGCAGTTACTAGAGAGACTGCCTGAGAAGCCTTGCGGAGGGAAGTTGGGGGCTCCCTTTATAAGTATGATTGCCTTGGTTCTGATCTGCTAGGAACACAACCTTGCCGGGGCAGGGACCAGCATCTCCTACAGGCAACAGAACGAACTCTGAGCTCTATGTTCTCTTGCTGAAAGTCTCATTGGTGGGAAATACCTTGGGCCAGTAAACAGTTGCCATGCAAGCACAGGACCTGGATTTGATCCCCGGAACTCACGTAAAAAGCCAGGCTTGATGGTTCTTTCTTGTATTCTCAGTGCTGGAGAGGCAGAGCAGACAATCACTGGAGCTTGCTGGCCCGGCAGCCTGGCCTAACCGGGGAGCCCCAGGTCCTACTGAGAGACCCTGTCTCGAAAGGAAAGTCTGGGTATTATCTGAGGAACAACACTCTAGGTTGTCTTTTGACCGCCAACATGTGTGTACACGCATGTGCAAGCACACATGCACATATACACCCCACACATACCCTGTGCATGCCCCCAAATGAAAATAGCTTTTCTTTTTAAAGATTGAATTTGTAGTCTGGTTCCAAAGCTCGTTTTCACTCCCTGTGTGAGGTGAAGTTCAGTAAGGAGATCCCCCCAGAAGCAGACGTCTGTTCTGAAGGATCAGGAGACGCTTGGGCCCGAGGAATGGCGCTAGGTAAAGGGTAGGACGCTGGTGTTTCTGCATGCGTATGGCTGAATAACTTCTTTCTGGAGAGCTCTCAGCCAGAGCCACAGTTCCAATCCGCTGCTTCGCCAAAGCTTAGAGAACACCAAATGTAACTGCCCCCAAGGGGCCAGTTCCCAGATCGTCTTGACTCTTATTCCAGCTGATTTTCTTAAAAAGAAAAGAGAGTAATAAACCCAGCTGGCTGGTTTCTCACTTGGACTCTTCAGAGTTCCAGTCTCCATACCAAATTAGTGACAAGAGCTGGCTGCTGTGGCCCTGCTTTGCTTTCCAGGGTGAGAGGAATGAACTCTTGGGCAAGCAGCCAGGCAGGTCCTCTTTCTGGTCTCTGGAAGCTGAGTAGCAGCCCCCCCCCTCCCCGCTTTCCAGACCTGTTGAGGTAAGTAAGGACTGTGGCTTTGTCAGGAAGACTATGGACAGTCGAGAATTCAGGAAGACTAGAGTCAAGGCCTGTGGCCCCTCAGGGATCTTGTTTGCAGTACTACAACTGGGTATGCTTTAGGGGAGCAAAGACCCAAGTAGAGGATCAGGCCTTACTGACTCAGGCCTCTGGGCCACAAGCCTACGGAGGGAGGGGGGCACCAAATAGAGTTAAGTTGTTATGGTATACAAATGTGTCCCTGGCATGCCTATCAGCTAAATTTGGATGGCTTTCTCTTCCTTCCTTCCTTCCTTCCTTCCTTCCTTCCTTCCTTCCTTCCTTCCTTTCTTTCTTTCTTTCTTTCTTTCTTCCTTTCTTCGGTTTTTTGAGACAGGGCTTCTCTGTGTAGCCCTGATTGTCTTGGAACTCACTCTGTAGACCAGGCTGGCCTTGAACTCAGAGATCCATCTGCCTCTATCTCCTGAGTGCTGGGATTAAAGGTGTGAACCAATACCACCTAGCACGGGTTTGTTTCTTAAAGAGGAAGTGTGTTTCCTCAAAAGCTTCCTCTAACACTGAAAATGAATCCTGTACCCAACCAACATGGGACCAAGTCAGGCGACAATGTTGAAAACTTTCCTGTGGCAGAAACACAGCACAGAAGTGGTCTGAAAGGGAGGATCTGGGTACAGAGAAGGGTCAGGTATACTAATTAGAAAGGACTTGGGAGACTGTGAGACAGCTCAGCAGGTGAAGGCACTTGTAGCGAAGGCCTGTGTCTGATCTCTGGGATCCACGTGCTAGAAGGAGAGACCCCTTAAATTTGCCAGGCTTATTGCTATGTCTGAACTCTTGTTGGCAATAGAGACAAGTCTAGGAAGGCCCTTGGTTCTTTTTAGAAAGTATTTTCAGCTTCTGCTTATTATTGTTCTTGTTACTAAATAACGAAGCACTGGAGGTTGGTTATCTTTACAAAGAAAAGGGTTGATTTTGGCTTATGATTCTGCGTATCAGATATGAAAGCCCACGTCTGATGATGGCTTCTTCTGGCCGTGGTCTCAGGAGCCCAGGCCTCAGATGGCAGGAGATCTGGGCACACATGTAGCTCTTGAGTTTTCTCTTTTTTTTTCCTGTTTTGTTTTGTTTTGTTTTGTTTGTGTCTTGTGTAGTCCTGGCTCCTTGAACGTATGAATGTCACTGATCCTCCGGCCTCAGCCTCCTGTAGCTGACATTATTCTCCCCCATTCTTGTTTAGCTAGCAGTACTTAATCACATGGGCCCCATTCTCATGAATTTATATAATTCTAATCATTGCTCCCCAAAGCCCACCTCTAAAGATCTTAACTTAGCTTTTTTTTTTAAACCTTAATTCTTAATTAATATTACATTTCAACACATGTGTCCTTTAAATCATACCCAGACCATAGCAGGGCCCAGCAAGGTGTCTCAGATGGCCTGATAGGGGAATGGAAGCCACCATGCTTGTGTACCTCAAATGGTACAGCAATGAATAGCAGGGAGCATTCTTCCCTCATCTCCCCAGTCCTGCTTCCCAGCACTGCTAAAATTGGCTATATGTTTTTATGCATTCATAAAAATGAACCGTTCTTTTATTCATTGATAGCTACCTATTAAGTGTACTAGGTACCACTGTGGGTGCTGAGACTCCTCTGAGGGAGACAGACTAGCAAAATCCTCAGCCCTTGAAGCTTACAATTTTTGGAGAAAGAAGCAGGTGGGCTACCCCATAAGCAAGGACACAGATTATGGTCAAACGATGGCAAGGATATGGAGCACAGGTCACTTGGGAAGGGAAACAGAAAGACCCCAGGCATGGTGAGGAGCAGGGAGGGATTGTGTCCCCCAGTGTGTAGATGTGCTCAGGGAAGGCCCCAGTGCAAAGCACAATGGCGCAGATACACACAGGAAAGAGAAAGAAAACTTGGGGACGCTTGGAAGAAAAGCATTCCAGACAAAAGAATAAGAAGTAAAACGAAATCCCCTACAGGTATCAGAAGGAAGCACAGGACGGTGAGGGTTGGGAGCTGAGGGAAGGACCTCAGGGCAATAGCAGAGACCCAGTTCATCCTAGGACAGAAGTCAGTGGGTTTTCCTACCCACCGTTCCCAGGCTCAGCCCGGGAGCTCACAGACTCTCCAGTTCCAGTCTGTATCTAAGGGAGCAGTATCTGTTAGCCTGGCTCATGGGTCAATGTGGACACGATTCCTAATTTTCCTCTTACAAGCAGAGCTACTGTGGATAGCCGGCCTTCTTTGTGCAGACAGCAATGTTCTCAAACCTTAGAGTTTTGGAAGTGTAACTTCATATGTCAACACTGGCAGATACTGCCAGCTCACCCGCCCAGAGCCCCTCAAGGCACACTGCTTCTAGCACTACATGAGAATGTTCAGTGCCCATATCCTCACTTTCATGAACTATTTATCATCGGTCCTTTTCATCTTTGCAAGCGCAGTAAGCGAAAATAATAATAAAATCACTAACTCCTTTGATCAGTAAGAACACACAAACACATTGTCTTAAATTAATTGTATTTCTTCTTCTAAGAACATTTATAGGTTTTGTCTAGTTACATTAAATTGTTTTCTCCAGATCATTTAAAAAATTAGGCATGGTGGTGCACAGCTTTAATCCCAGTACTCAGGAGGCAGGCTGTTCTCTGTGAGTGGAGGCCAACCTGGTCTACACAGGTAGTTCTAGAATATCCAGGGCTACATACTGAGACCCTATCTCAAAACAAACAATAAATAAAAAGTAAAATAGAGCTTAGGGCTGACGAGATGGTCCCATGGATATCTTAGGGTTTCTATTGCTGTGAAGAGAGTCCATGAGCACGGCAACTCTTATAAAGGAAAACATTTCATTGAGGTGGCAGCTTACAGTTCAGAGGTTTGGTCCATTATCTTCATGGCGGCGTGCAGACAGATGTGGTGCTGGAGAAGGAGCCGAGAGTTCTACATCTGGATCTGCAGGCAACAAGAAGGAAAATGGGTCTTATACTGGGTGTAGCTTGAGCATATGAGACCTCAAAGCCCTCCTCCACGGTGACACACTGCCTCCAACAAGGCCACACCTTCTAATAGTGTTACTTCCTTTGATCAAGCATTCAAACCCATGAGTCTAGTAGGGGCCATTCCTAGTCAAACCTCCACAGTGGGTAGAGGTATTTGCCACTGGAAATGCTGAGCTGAGTTCCGTCCCCAGGTTCCACACGGTGGAAGGCTAGCACCAGCTCCCACAGGTGCATAAATAATTAAAATTTTTTAAAAATAAATTTTAAAGTCATAAGTTGCAACAAAGAAAAGATTCACT